TTCTCGCAGCGAGGGAACCGCCAGAAGGCCCTCGGCGCTGGACCTCAGTGTCTGGGCAGAACGATTGGGGTGGAGACGCTCCTTCAGGTATACTGGGCCGAGGCCGTTTAGGGCTTTAAAGGTCAGCACCAACACTTTGAATTGTGCTCGGAAACGTACTGGGAGCCAATGTAGGTCTTTCAAGACCAGTGTTATGTGGTCTCGGCACCCGCTCCCAGAATCACAATCACCACCTCCTTCTTAATTAGCTGTGGGCATGTGGAGTGTGGAGAGAGGCATAGATAACCTAATTAAGTGGAGAGGTTTAAAATGCATATCAATTAACCAAATAAAAGGATCCAGAATCAATCTGGACTTAAAGTGGAATACTGAGGACAAACAAGTATTATTCCGTATTGAGGAAAGCTATTCTTTGCGCTGCAAATGGGTAAGTGTGGACACAGACTCAGAATGTCCTCAGTGGAGCATTGCCCTTTAATTCTAATTATGTAGCTTTTTGCACCTGGCTCTGTTTGCTAGATCTTGAGGTTGCAGTAAAAAAACAAAGTTGATCTGAGGATCCTGAAAAATATCACCCTGATCTAAAGCCTTTCGCTCAGAAAGCTGAGTCTAAGAACGATCACAAATGATATTTTCCTATTGTCTTCACTAATCAAGGCTGAAGTATTAGACATACTAAGCTGACAAAATTATATAATTAAACTTACAAAATTAAATTGCTGCAGAAGTATAATTTTATATAATATTATCTTACTGTACTTGCTTGAACAGTTAGAACTTACCTCCATTCCTGGTCTCCCAACAAACTGCTTATGCATCGTTATGCAGAACCTCCTTATTTATTTTTTGGATACAGGTCTCTGATTTGCCATAACTGCTTCCAGCTGCAGAGCATTACACGGCTGGGTGATATGTAAAAAAAGCATTGTTTTTTGTTCATTTTTTTAAAAAAAAAGAATAAAAGTTAACCATTGTTCCCTGTTGGTGTGCTTTGCTGTGTACAATATCTAGCGTGAAAAACCTTGGTCTGTTCTTCTGATTTCTTGGGGTTTACTGCAATAAATATTAGGAATAGTTTTTATAATAAAAATAGCTTAGAAGTCAAATCTGTAGGAATTTCAGCTGTCACTTAATACAGGAAATAACGTTTATGAAAGTAGTAAGATTGGAAATATAATTAAGAATGCTTTTAAAAAACACAATACAGATTATTTTTAATAATATCAAGCCAAATCTAGTTTTGAAAATCTTATTATAACTAATTATCTTACTTGTAGTGAAATTCAAACCACTGACATGCTTCTTAAATGTGAGATAGAGAAGAGAAATACCCTGTATATCAGAGGCCACTAGAGCAATATTTCCCCTTCATTTTCTGTTTTACATAATTTGTAGGGGAGTTGCAAAATCCTCAGATTGAATTAGATTAGGCCTCACCAGCGACACCACTAAAAGCACCCACAACAAAGCCATGCGAATGCAGCACATACACAACAGCAACCACTGGGACGTGGATGGAAAATACCCACAACGATGATGACACCTAGTGATACAGGCTTTGGTCCCCATGGCAACGCATACACCACCTGCATCACCTGGGGCAACCCAGGATGCCGTATGAAGAAAAATTGCATGCATACTTTACGCAGAAGACGCCACACAAAAGAAAATGGGAGCTTATATAAACATGCATGCATATTCTCAATTATTATGGCAATTGCGGGCAGGAGGGCAGGAACCTCGTTCCGACCCTCTTTTCTCTAGATACCCTGGTGCAGGGGAGGGGAGGGGAGGGGGGTAGTTTCTGATTATGCTTTCCTGGTGCATCACTAACACCTCATGATCATTGGTATCAAAGATCCCTGCCTAGCATGATTGTAGAATTCCATCATTCGTTTCCAGATGTAGTTAATCAACACAGTCACAGGTAATATCTGCACCATGCCAGAGCTAATGCAATTCTGGAAAACTGGGCTAGCCCAGCCCTACCATTAGGTTGAGAGAGGTAGCCCGCTTCAGGTAGCATATTTGAGGCATCCTTAAAGGACCAAAAAAATTAAATCATTTGTTTCACTTACCATATTATTTTTTAACCACAGTGATGCCACTGGAATGTTCTCAGGCACCAAAGTATACCAGACCATCTCTTTCAGCATGGAAACCGATGTGGTCTAAGTGAGCTGTGAAATGAACAACATGTTCTACTACCCCTCTCCCCAAATGGATGATTGGTAGTTAAGATTCAGGACAGCCAAAAGAAAATACCTTTTCCACACACACACTTAGTTAAACTATGGAATTCTCTCCCACAAACGGGAGTGATGGCCTCCAACTTTAAAAGTGCATCAGACCCATTAACGGAGGATAAATTTATCAGTTGCCTGCTCGTAGCGCAATGACTATGCTCGAATCCGTCTCCACGGTCAGAAGCGATATGCCTTTGAATACCCATTACTGAGAATGGCAGGTGGGAAGAGTGCTGGGATGCTCAAGTACTGCTTGGAATTTGGTCAGCCACTGTGAGAACAGAGTGCTAGACTTGACTGACCTTTGGCCTGATCCTGCAGGCTTGTCTTATGTAGTTGCTAGCGTAAACAGGACCCAGGACCAGACAATACATATCAAGATCCTCAGGATCTACAAGTAGTCCTATATTAACCTTACTGGTTTTTACCAGCTATTTTAAGCACCGACCCAACTCTAAGCTGCCCCCGTTTTTCCAAATCAGTAAATATATGGATCAGTAGGCAACTATTGATATAAACTGGACATGAGAGAGCTTTCCTTACCCTGAGTTTTTAGCCAAAAGAAGACCAGCAAGTCATGCTTAACATGAGATGTTAGTTGCCCGCAGCACGGTCTACGGAATTTATCAGGGAGAGACAATACTCTGAACAAGACCTTTTGCCCTCTGTCACTTAACATCTAGGGTGATGGAAGAGAAAGCTTTATCTGCTGCCATTGCTAGCAGTAAATCAGGGGTTAGGAACCTGTGGCCCTCCAGTCCGTGTTAAGATTCGAACTCTGATCAACATCAGTCAGCATGACCAATTGTTTGAGGATGTTTTGAATTACCATCTAGCAACATCTGCATAGCCACAAGTTCCCCATCCCTCCTTTAAATATTAATTTTATAGTGGGCTATGCCACAGTATGCTATCTTTGGTGCAAATAATTTGCCAGGGTGTTGAGAGTTGTTTGGTAGGTCCCCTCACAGAACTACAATTCCCAGCATCTTTTGAATGCTTTAAATGTGCAATGTGGATGTGACTTCTATCTCTTAGCATAAACCAAAATATCTTGCGGGGGGAAGGAAAAATGTCAGCGAGCAGAATGCTCATGTTTCGATAACAATTCAAGAAAGAGCAATCGCAGAGGGAGAGAACCTGTGAGTAATTCTTAAGCAGTGCATAACCATCTGACCAACCACAGAAACGGACGTTGACTATGCCTCTACAAGCATTTCAGGCTTGGCCCTACCACTTGGCAGAGTGAGGCAGCCGTTTGGGGATGTCATTCAAGGTCTTCACAGAGCTCATGGTTCAAGCTATGGAACTCGCTAGCACAAGATGTAGCAATTGCCACAATCGGGATGGCTTTGAATACACAAATCCGTAGTGGGTGAGAGTGAGACCATCGATGGCTACCAGCCGTGATGGCTATTATACTGCAAATTGCATGCTTCTCTGAATGCCAGTTTGCTGGGAATTGCAGGTGTGGAGAGTACCCTCGTGCTTGCAGGCCTTGCATTGGCATCTGGCTGCCCACTGCGAGAATGTGGGCAAATCGGTTCCAGATGCGCTTACAGCTGGGAGGAATCTGGCTTTCGAGCAAGAGCACAAATGCAGCTTGAGAACACATGTCCTGTTTGACTGCTGGGCATATTGTCATTTTGCTATTTCATGTTGATTGATTGCATATATATATACCGTATTTTTCGCTCTATAGGACGCACTTTTTCCCCTCCAACAATGAAGGGGAAATGTGTGTGCGTCCTATGGAGCGAATGCAGGCTCCTTGGCTTCGCGGCAACGCGCCTGTCCTGGAAGCCGGAGGAGGAACAGAAGGGTCTTCTTCTGTTCCTTCTCCAGCTTCGCTGAAGGGTGCTGCGCCTTCTCCCTCTCTGCGCAGCACCTTTCCTGTGAAGGAGGGGCGCTGCACAGAGAGAGAGAAGGCGCAGTGGCCCTTCAGCGACGCATCTGTCCTGGCTTCTGCTTTAGCCCTGCGCAGCCTCTTTGGGCAGGGGGAGCCTTCATCCCGCTGCCCTGAGGAGGCTTGGCGCAGTTACCCCAGAAGCCAGAACAGCCACACGGTATCCCAGAAGCCAGATCCCTCTTGCTGTTCTGGCTTCTGGGGTTCAGAATAATTTTTTCTTGTTTTCTGCCTCCCAAAACTAGGTGCGCCCTATGGTCCGGTGCGCCCTATGGTGCGAAAAATACGGTATATATATATTTGTATTACTGTGCCATTCACCACTTTGAGAGCCTTTGGTTAAAACGGTAAACAAACCATCACATGACCACACAGCCGGCAGATGCTGGCCTCATAACATTCCTGAGAAAGGTGATACATTGCATCCTTTACTTATTATTATATATTTTTACTGTCAGGGACGCAGGGGGCGGGTTGCTGCATGCCTTAACCTAGTGCCCTGGGAGCTTTTTTGGTCACTGAGGTCACCATTTGCAAATACTGCTGCTCTTCAGCCAAGACAGCACAAATATTTTTGGGTCGACCATACTGTAAAGCCCTTTATTCAAAAACAGGAGGAGGAGGAGGAGGAGGAACAACAACAACAGCAGCGTCGAAGTTTTACTCCTCCGTCCAATAACTGACGGGCGCTCGTTTTATAACGTGCGCGTGAGGGAGGAACAGGCCGCCCGTCACGTGACGCCCGAGCCGCGCGCCCCACCCTCCCTGCGCGTTCCCCTCCCATTTCCCTCCCTCTGACCTTCTCCGCCCTCACCGCCTCCCCCTCCCCCGACCCGTTTCCCTCGCGAGCCGTCCGGCGCGCGCGCATTGCCAAGTGCGCTTGCGCGGCTCCGCCCTTCACTCACCCACCTCCACCCACCTCCGCACGCTCTCTCTTTCCCCCCCTCCCTCTCTCTCTCTTCTCTTCCCCCTCCCCTCACGCCGCCCGCCTGCCTCGCGCGCGCGCCCCTCTCCCCCAATCGCCGCCTTGCCTCCGGGGCTATAAAAGGAGCGGCCGGCCGGGGTTTCCTTCCTCAGTCCGCCGCAGCGGCGAGTGGCTCGGGCGTTGCTGAGGAGAGGAATTGAGAAAGAGAGAGAGAGAGAGGGGAAAAAAAAAGAGGTCGAGCTGCGGTAAACAATAAAGACGCCGACGCCGTGCTAACTCGAGCCTGGCTGCTGGGCCTTGACTAAGCCAGCCGGTCTTGTGAGCGAGAGTGCTGGTCCCTGGCGGGGTGTCGGCCCGGCCGCCCTCAAGCCCAGACTTCTCCCGCGCCTGCCCTGCGGCGCTCCCCCCACCGAGGCCCGCGGCCGCCCAGCCCGGCGACGCCATGAGCTCGGGGACGCCGTACATCGGGAGCAAAATCAGCCTCATCTCCAAGGCGCAGATCCGCTACGAGGGCATCCTCTACACCATCGACACCGACAACTCCACCGTCGCCTTGGCCAAGGGTGGGTAGGGGGCCGACGAAGACCCCCCTCACAAGGCGCGGGGAGGGGGGCGAGCGCGCGTGCGCGGGTGGGCGTGAGGGAGAGAAGGAATAAAAGGGTGGGGGTAGGTTGGGGGGAGCCAGGAGAGGCGGTGGGTGGGGCCCCCATCCTCTTGCTCTCCCCCCCCCCCAGGAGAGAAACGGGTCCGACGTCGGAAAAGTCGCGTTACCTCGAATTCCTTTCTTTTCCCTTTCCCCCCTCCCTCCCTTCCTCCTCCCTCCTCCAGCGTTTTCCTTTCTTTCATTTGCAGGGGGTGCGGTTTGTTGTCTGCCTTCAGCGGGGGGGAAGGAGGGAGGCAGCTGAGCTTTAAAGGGGGCGTGTGCTTCCCAAATAGTCCTAATTTATTTGCTCGGCAGTGGGTTTTTTTTTAAAAAAAATGGGAGAGGGGAAAGAAAAACAGCAACCCAGAAAAACATGGCTACTCATAGATGGAGGAGCTGCTGCTGCTGTTGCTGCTCTTGAAATTGAGGTTGAAGGGCCTGGTGGGAAGCTGGAAGGAGAGGTAGGCATTGGGGGGGGGGAGCAACGCTTCAGCCTCCTTTGCAAACAGTCTTTGCTTCTTTCCCTCCCCATTCGCCCCCCCCCCGCCGTCTCCCCACGGAGAGGCTGTAAATGACTTGCTTGCAGTACAGTACTGCCTTTTCTTTTCTTGCAAACCCCGTGGTGCTAAAAGAGAAAAGAATGCAGAGTTGATATTTATATACTTTGCCATTAGTGGGGAAGATTGCAAATTGCAAGCCAGACAGTGCAGGGGGGTGGATGTCTGGACAAGGGAAGAGGTGCCTTGCTCATGAGGGCCTTGTGGGTTTTTTCTTTCTTTTTAAACAGTGTGTGTGTGTGTGCGCACGCATCTTTCCCAGGCTCTTGGCTAGACTTGTGCCTAGGTAGAAAAAGGGTCTTCTTGCATGCTTTGTTCTTTAATACAAGTAAGGAATATATCTTGGGCTACCTGCATCTTCTACCCCTATAGGACAGCCTTTCTCAACCTTGGGACTACAACTCCCATCATCCCTAGCTAGAAGGGACCAGTGACCAGGGATGATGGGGTTTTTAGTCCAACAATATCTGGAGACCGAAGGTTGAGAAAGTCTGTTCTATAAAAACAGCCTTTGTAGATGCTGCAACTCCTTACGACACACTTCCTACCTCTTGCTGTTTCTCACAGAAGAGTAGGCGAGCTTCTTAATTCTACTTGCATAGGCGTCCTGCTGACTTTGAAGAGAAAGATGTACAAACTGGAGGCCTTAAGTTGCATACTCTCTGAATAACTTTGGCTGCTGCCTTTTTCCAGTCTTGCAAGCTCACTTTATGGGAAGCAGCTGTGGTGTGGAAAATTTTCTGTCCCTATATTTTTCTGTGGAAAAATTTCCCATGTTTAAAAACGTGGTGCTTTGTGAGAATAGATAGGAGAAATTTGATGCCAGCTATATTACACGGTTTCAGTGTTGTGAAACTTCATCAGGAAGCAGGGCCGGTTTGGGGAAAAAATCCATGTGCAATACCCATTCTCATGTTCTGGTTATCTGTAAATTGCTGGAAGGAAAGTACACATCATCTAAACATGTTTAATCTGATTCAGATTGGTTTAGGGCATAGGTAAATCAGGAGTGAACATTTTATGGAAAACCCACATTACCAGGAGGAGAATGTGTTCTGCAGCCTTTGTAGCTTCTATATGTAGGTTTTGTTATTGTTTAGTCATGTCCGACTCTTTGTGACCCCATGGACCAGAGCACGCCAGGCACTCCTGTCTTCCACTGCCTCCTGCAGTTTGGTCAAACTGGACTTACGTACTCTGGAAAAGTGTGCCTCAAAATCCAGGTCTGAGGGTATGCTTGGGAAAAGATGGTCTTTGCAGCTTTATTTCATCCACTTTGGTCTCTGGATCGTCATTTTCTCTTCCCGTCATATCTTGTCATTTTTCAAGACTTTGCATGAATAACTGAGTAGAAATGAGAATGTCTAGTCTCCTGTAAAATGCCAAGTATGTAAGGGCACTACTTTATTCACCTGGAGGCCCTCATGTCTTTGACTTGGGGAAGATGTGTGGTTCCTATTTTCTTTCTCACTCACTACTTTTGAGAGCCAAGGAAATGTCTCCATGTTTCCCCTTCACTTAATGGGTTGGGGTGCCCCTTCTAAACTTTAATAGCATGGGCCTAGAAAGCTTCTCTGGGGCCTTTGATAATGATGAAAGTGACCTAGGTTCCTGCAGCTGATGTCTGCGGGGCTGCTTTGCCTCCTCCTATCCCCTAAAGCATTTTGTTGTGTTATTTTCAATTTCTCCAGCTTTTGGAATCAGTAAATGGAAAAGGGGATTGTAGGTTGTTGCTGGTGATTGGCACACTAGGTGGCACAGGCATTTAGCTTGTGGGTCATGCCTTGGGGTGGCCCCAGCTTCATCCCTTTTCTTTCTTGGCAAGAGACAGTTATATCACGCTGAAGACAGCTTTTCTCATAGTAAGGTCTCTGAAAGCCTTTCTTCTCACAAAGGGAATTCCCTTCCTCCCTGCTTATTCCATTTTGTTTGGAGGCTTCACCCCTTGATTTTTTCTTTTCTTTTCCCAACACCTGTAAAGAAAACGGGTTTGTTCGTTCCTTGCATTTGTTTGGGCTTAGAAGATCTTGGATGCCAGTGCTGGGCTGTCCACATCTTTCATAAGGCATGGTATTCTCTGGAACATGATGTAGAAGTTAGAGCTAAGATTGTGTGCAACTGACAAGTGTTTGGTGGGGGGCTGATTCTACCCTGATTCGGCTGAGATGGTTAGTTGTGACCTGGCTACAAACTGTCCAAGTCTCTAGGTTGAGGAAACAAGGCAGGCCTTGTAGATGGGCAGAATTGCATGTGTTTTGTTATGGCCTTGCCCTTCATAGTCAGCTGCTGATATGTTTCTCTGCTGCTAGAGCCGAAGAAAAGAGCTTGACAAACCTGGCTGGGATGTGCAGGGTTTAATAGCTGACTACCTGGCTGCACTGGGGGGGGGGGCAGTGAGCTGCATGTATACTCCATTCTACTTCAATTCCCCACCAGCTTCTTGGAGCAACGTATTCTCTTAATTAAAGAAATATGGTAGACCAGATGTTAGCCTTATGTTTTCTTGTCCAAGGCTAAGAAATCCCTTGTGTGTCTTAATACTAAAGCCCAGCAGCCAAGCAAGAGGAGTATTTGGGGGAGGGGAAAATAAACTTTTTTAGTGCAGCTTATCTGATACCTGATCTTGCTGTGCTTGATTCAGGAGGGAGATGGCTGTCTGCAGCAGCCAGCCATTGTTCTCTTGTATAGCTTTGTATGCTGTCTGGCTTCCCTTACCTTGCAGGCAGTTGGAATGTAGCCCCACCTCCTTCAGCTTGTATGTCTGTCTCCTTTAAAGGTCCTCCATCCTGCTGTCTTGCACTGCTCCTGCCTCTTGCATCAGCCCACATAAAGTGTGATTGAGGACTGATTCTGCGTTCTTTATAGATTTGATATGCACTCAGTTGTGAACTGCTGTCTTCTGCGTTTAGCTAAATATCAGGCTCTGTCTCCTCTCCAGTTCCCTAGTATAGGATTAATACTCTGATGTGCATCTTGTTGAAACAGTAGCTGGCTGAAGCAGAGTCCTAGTCCCTCAGATCTGTTTATCAAAAGCAATGTGTTTCTGAATTAATAACACTTCGATTGACAGTAAGCAGTTGTGTTTTGAACCTGAACTTAGGCTAGATTTTCTGAATTCCTTCTTGGTTTTAATTTAAGCCAGTTTAATTTAAGCCAGAATTCCTACTTGGTTTTAATTTAAGCCAGTCTCATGGTGATAAAGAAACCATACATCCTAGGTAGTGTCTAGTTTAGGTCAGCAACTCATTTTTTTGCAAGAACATATTTTGAATATTGCATGGAATGAAGGGCAAGCAATTTGGATTCACCTGAATATTCTTCTGCAGAGACAGGCAAAGGGCTCTTTAATATTTTCCTCTGCTGCTTGACCAGCAACAGATTCTTTAACTTGAGGCAGTGGATTTCCACACACCACCACAAATCTAGGCAAATGGAAACGAACAAGTAAGGTGCTTAAGGAGAGAACTTGTGTCAAAAGTGTCTTGCAGTTAACACTGGACTACGTTAAAAGAAAATCTATACTCCTTTCTCTGCTTGCTAGTCTGGAAAAAGAAGCTCATGTGCTTAACAGAGGAGGGGCAGGCTGGATTTAGCTCCCCACTTCCTGCGCCATCAATTGTCTGTTCTTAATCTTTACATAGCAGGACCACAGCTTAGTAGTAATAGTAGAGCACTCACTTTTTTTATGCGTAGGACACCCCGTTCAATCCTTAGTATCTCCAGTTAAAAGGATCAGGCAGCGGATGATAGGGAAAATCTGTCTGAGGCTCTGAAGATCTGGCAGAGTAGACAACACTGAGCTAGATGGACAAATAGTCTGATCTGGCATAAGGCAGCTTCCTATGTCCCTAGGGAGGCTTATCCTGGGTAACCTTTGCATTGTATTTTGGACATACCATGCTCACAACTTTCCATTGTGAAAATGCAACGCTTCTGCAGCACCAGGAAGTGTCTACTGCAGATAATCCACAGCAGTGTTGCTGGCCACCACCTCCTGCTTCAAAAAGTCCTCAATATTGCCTACCTATGGTCAAGAAATCTTGGCTGGCTTTGTTAGTCTACTAAAATGTTAATTTGAATGACTGCCTACTGCCCAAGAGGGGGAGAACTGTGTCTTCCGGCATAAATGCTGAGCTAAAATGCAACAAGTGAGCCTATGCCTTTCTCCGCAGCTTAGAAGAGAGATGGGAGCTTATATCCCTATTGCACTAAGACTCAAACAGCAAGAAGTGTTGCAAGTATCTTTTGAGAATCAGTGTAGCATCAGTAAGGGCACATTTCATTTCTCTGTGCTTTTGAAGAAAACATGTAGGAGGGTGTCCACGTGCTGCTTCAAACACAGACGTCGCGGTGTCAGAAATCCCCCAGACATGTTTTGTGACTCTTGTGGGTCCAATTTAAGACCATGTGGAGATCTCTGTACGCCAGGTTGGCAATTGACATCTCCATTTGGCTGGCCCCTTCAGCTTTCTGAAGCAGGTAAGCAGAAGAGTTTATTTACTGCAGTTAAATACTGGGCTTTTCTCCAAGGAGTACATGGTTCACCCCCCCCCCAGTTAATTCCATAACGACCCTCTGAGGTAGGTTAGGAGGCTGCGACTGGCTCAAGGTCACCCAGTGAGCTTCATGACTGTGGAGATTTGAACTCTATCTCACAGGTCCTACTCTGACACACTAACCACTACACTACATTAGCTTCCTAGAGTATGTCTGCTATGGGACAGCTATATCAATCAAGTAGATCAATAAATACGGGGAAAGCAAAATGTCACTTAGATATGGATCTGAAATATTTTCCTTGAAGCTTTAATTTGTTTCGTTCTGGATTGTTTCATTTGTTGTTTTAATGTGTTGTAAACAGCTTTGAGAAGATACAAATAATTATTATTCCATGTGGCAGGGGGAAATGGCGCATGGACATTCCATTGTGGCAGCCATAACCTAGGTTAAAGGTGCCATTTGGTGATTAGATTGTATATCTGAGTTTCTAGCATTGAGAAACAGAAACACAACACTTGGCAGAACGAAACATACTTACCAATATAAGTTGGTGTGAATATATGGATCCTTGATACCAACATAATCCCTTGAGCAGACTTAATTTTGGGCCTACACAAATATAGCATTTCTTGACCTATACTTATGGTAGTAAAGAAATTTTATACTTCACATATGCCCCTGCTCATATTTTTAATTCCTATATCAATAATACCATTGGCAGCTGGCAGAGAATTATGCACCAACATTTTGTTATATTTTTATCTTGTTTCTTCAAGAAGCTCAGAATGGTGCTGACTTTTATTTCTTATCTTCAAAAACAAACAAACAAACAAACAAAAAACCCTGTGACATCCACTATGCTGTGTGTGACCAACCCTAGGTCACCCAGTGAACTTCATGGTTGATAGAATATTAAACTCATGCTGTTTTAGCTGGTCATAGAAGCCTAAAATTGTAGAATTGGAAGGGACAATGAGTGTCGTCTAGTCCAACCCCCTGCAATGCAGGAATCTCGACCATAGCATCCATGACAAATGGCCATCCGATTTCTGCTTAAAAACCTCCATTGAAGGAAAGTCTTCCATCTTCCAAGGGAGTCCGTTCCACTGTCAAGCAGCTCATACCATCAGAAAGTTCTTCCTGACTTTTGGTTGGAATCGCCTGGCATTTTGGAAGACACTGGTTTGGTTTCTGCCCTCTGGAACAGGAGAAAACAAGCATGCTCCATGTGACAGCCCTTTAGATATTTGAAGATGGTTCTCATATCCTGTCTCCTGTTCAAACTAAACATACTCATTCCTCATAAGGCTTGGTTTCAAGACCCTTCTTCATCTTGGTAGTGCTCTCCTCTGCACAAGTTCTAGCTTGTCAGTATCCTTAAATTGTGGAGCCCAGAACTGGACACAGTGTGGTCCGACCAAGAAAGAAGAGAGCAGGACTAAGTTCTGGTACTTCCCTTGATCTGAAGCTGCCTAGAATAACATTAGATTTCCCCCCCTGCCATATCACACTGTACTCTTAAGGGTTTTCAGCTTCCTGCTCAGTCTCATAGTTCCTTGGTTTACTTCAAAGGCTGTGTCCAGCAATATCGTTTGTATCCACAAGAATCAGAAAGAAGAGGTTATGGTCGGTGGGCTTTATAAGACTTGGCAACTTTGGTCACATGAATCTTTGCACCTGGAAGACAGGACACCTCCTGTGACGTCCTGTTTCCTCTGCCTCTGTCCTCCGCAGTATGGAGCCACTTACTACCACCACAGGTCTCTACCTACTCTGGGGAGTGGCAGGAATTGTTCTGTATGCTGTACCTTCCACAGCCACCTTGGTGTAATCTGAGTTCTGCAACTGCTATCCTTGCTCTTCTGGCCCAGAATCTGTCCGAGGTGAGGGCATGGAATCAATTTTGCAGCTCCAGTGACACAGCATGACTCCTAACATGTCCTGCTTCTGTGTGTCATGTTCCTCCAGGGGTTTGTCTCCTGCAGTGCGCAATCTTCCTCCTCTCTGGGGGCACCCCATCTGTGTCGCTGTTCCATGACGGTCTACTCTGCTCTAAGCTTGCACTTGCTGCAGGTGTAATTATTTTGCACATTCTCGAGCAGGAAGACAAACAATGGCAGGTCGCTGCAGCAGCTTCTCCACTGTCCATGTCTCTTGGTCCTACAGACAGCGCAATACTGCACTCTGGGCCATCCTCACAAACAACCCTCTTTACAAGTCCTTGTCAGGAGCTCCCAGAGGCTGCAGCCAGCTAAATACAAAGGTTTCCCCCTAATAGTTTGGAGCTTTTATTGTTGGCAACACAGCTACCTTTACTTGTTTTCTCTGATTGAATCATTTTAGTCCTTGCTGCAGTTGCTACTGTGCTGCCTTGTTCTCTGATCACCAGTAGCCAAGCAAAACACACCTCTTCTATCTCTGAGGCTCTAGTCTCAGTTCTCAGCTCTGCCTGCTATCTGCAGCCAAGGATATAGAAACCAAGTTCTCACTGTCTCCCAAAGAAGGGATTCTTTCTCAGTAAGTTGAAGTGGGAAGAAGACTGCCCAGTATTGGCTTAGTTAGAAGACTTGTGCATAGTTCTGGATGGTATAGTGAGGAGTATCATGAACATGTAAATAGAGCTATGACAGCCTTAATCCTGTTCGCAGCATCATATTTATGTAAATGGGAAGCCTGCCAATAGCTGCATCGGAAGCTTAACACAGCTATCTGGAAAATGCTGAATTTATTCAGCTCACTCCAACATAAATGTAACTGATCTGTAAAAGGGAAACTTGGTACTATTAAAACATGTGTAAAACATTATTGGTTGGGTTCACAAATGTGTTCATGCAACAACCCTCTGGCATTTTTGAAGGTCTGGTTTGAGGACAACTGTTCTAGAGAAACTGTTCTTTCTCTTGGCTGCTTGAGAGACTCCCTTTAAAAAATTACCCTTTGCTTCCTTTAAATCATTGTGACCTGGTGGACTTACCAACACAACTTTTTATATTCCTGTGCCCTTTCTGCTGAGATGGGAGAGGCTTGAATTTAAGGGAGAATGAAGTGATAGATGTCTTGTACGACTCTGTTAATGCTTTCTGTCCCACCCCCTTCTCTCCTGCCTCTTAACTGAGCTTCCTTTTAACCCTGTGCTATGGTCTCGTTACTGCTCTACAAATTACTGGATACAGCAAATTACAATACAGCATTAAATATTAAAAACTTCCCGAAACAGGACTGCCTTCAGGTGTCTTTTAAAAATAGGCTAGCTGCTTATTTCCTTGACATCTGATGGGAGGGCGTTCCACAGGGTGGGCGCCACTACTGAGAAGGCCCTCTGTCTGGTTCCCTGTAACCGTCTTGCAATGAGGTAACCACCAGAACGCCCTCGGCGCTGAACGATGGGGGTGGAGATGCTCCTTCAGGTATACATGGCTGGGGAACCTGTGGCCTTTCAGAAGTTTGTGGGCTGCTGTCCTGGCCATTGACCAGTCTGCTTGGAGCTGTTGGGAGCCTGCAAACATGTGAAGGTTCCCCATCTGTGTTGTAGAACCTTGACAAATGTTGTTGTCCTTGATACTAAAGACTGATCTCCTTTCCAGTATTTCCAAGTGATTCATATTTTAGAAAGCTAACAAATACACAATGAATTAACAATCAATAGATCAGAATTCAAAGTAATAAAATGCCTCTTCAGGATTTAAAGGCCTGGGGGGGGGGTGTCTTTGCCTGGAGTGAAAAAGATACTGATAAAGAGTGGGTATTGGAGGAATAGTAGTTGCATATTCAGAGGACTTCCATCCATTCCTCTGTAATAGAGTTTTGCAACAGCCAGTTTGTAGTCCTGCTCTATAATGCAGTGCAAACAAGTGGGAGTCAGGAGGTGGTTTTCAGCATCAGTCACCACAAGTACCAAGAGCTGCTTGCACTGGAATTGTTGAAGGGAGGAGAGCTTGCCCCTTGGACAAATTAGGATGTAGCAGGCAAGGTCAGAACAGACATCCCAGCTCCAGTCCTCAGAATTGTAGTTCAAGCAGATCAGGGGAGACCCTGCTATCAAATGCGTTTCATAAAGGCAGTGTAAAATGGCCTGTTGTCTTCCAAGTATTAACATTAGTACTTTTTCTTTAATGTTCAAAGTGCGCTCTTTTGGAACTGAAGATCGTCCCACAGACCGTCCTGCCCCTCCAAGGGAAGAAGTTTATGAATATATCATCTTTCGAGGTAGTGATATTAAAGATATCACTGTATGTGAGCCTCCAAAAGCGCAGCATAATCTCCCCCAGGATCCTGCTATTGTCCAGGTAAGTTATTTCATCTGAAACGCCAGTGGTGGCTTCATCCAGCAGTTGAGCTTGGCCCCCCTTGTGTCTCTTAATTGAATTATCACTATTGGAGGTTTTTTTACATTTCCCTCTGGCCTTGCTGCCCACTGTCCCTCCTCTCCCAACCCACTTTGTGTGCATCTATAACTGAGGATTACAGTTCATGCATTTGAAGTGGGACTCTCATCCACAAAATCTTATTATGCCATAATATTTTTTAGTCTTTAAGATGCCACAAGATTGTTCTGTTTGTTTAGTACAACAGACAAGCAAGACAGCCCCTCTGTTTACCATTTCTTAGATTCCAGTTAGGCTATTCCCCCTATATTAAGAGTGTTTGTTCCTTTGTGAGTGCTAGCTCTCACCCCCCCCAAAAGGTATGATAGGGTAGCAATCAATTCTGTTCCGTCCCCACCCTTGTCCGGCTTTGTTTGCCGACAACCTGTGCATTGTAGCTGTTAACCTACAAGGACCTGTGCTATTTTGTAGTAGTGATGTTAAACATTCTGAATGTTAAAAAACAACTGTGCTGGCGTTGAATATTTTTCTACCTCCTGTCCGTCTTCATTTTGCAGCCTTTAACTTTATGCACTCCCCAGGGAGGTTCGCCTGGTGCCTTCATTATACACTTTTAGGCACCAGGCAAAAACATTCCTCTTTAACCAGGCCTTTGGTTGATTGACACCCAATGCCCTTTTAATGTTTTTCTTGTTTGTGGGTGTGGGGTAGGGGGATTATTGAGTTGTTTTTGTTTACATTTATGTATTTTGTTTTGTTTTTTCATATTGTGTTTTTATCCTGTCAGCCTGTGACCTGTGGGTATAGGGTGGTGTACAAATTTAATAAATAATATGGTGTTCTCTCATTTTGTAGTCTTCTCTGAGCTCTGCCTCAGCACCCTCCTTTCAGCCACACGTGCCTTACAGTCCCTTCCGAGGTATGCCGCCCTACAGCCAGCTTGCTGCCAGCTCTTTAATTAGCCAGCAGTATGCAGCTTCCCTTGGTTTAGGTGAGTACTGTAACAATAAACTGATATGTCTGCCTGGGCTGTACCACTCCAGATTGCAGCTGGAGATTCACAGGGAATGCTGTTCAGTTTCCAGAATGGGGGAGACTTCTGTATTGATTGGAGAGAGAAGAGGCTCTGAATGTTTTTGTTTTGTTTTTCTTCCCGTTGGGAAGAATTCCATCACGTGAGTCTCCTCCTGCTGTCTAAAGTGGACAGCCCAGACATTTGTTTACCACCTGCAGTGAGAGCTAAACTGAAGACGTATATTGTGTGTATTCCTCAGTTGTTAAAAGCACGTCTTTTCAGCAGCCCATGTCTTATTGGAATTAAGCTTGATTTCTTTGCTTTAGCTGCTGACTAGAAACAAGCTAGCTTTATGAATTGAATCTTGTAGGAGTCCTCCACCTTGGGAAAGGCTGCTCATTCTGTGGTGCAACAGACCGAACCTGGATCAGAGCTGATACCTTTGGACTAATCCCAGCTCATTCATAAACTCCTTGTGATTCCTCAGCTGTAAAATGAGAGTTAGGGTGTCATCTGATCACAGCGAGTGAGAAGAAACTGTACCGGGTTTTAAGAACGCTTAACTATATATTTTTTTTCAGCAGTTAAGTTTCCAGCTTAACTGCTTTCCATTTATCAGCTGAAAATTGGAGAGGAGGAATCCAAGGCAGTATGTTTGGACAGTTGCTTCCATTTTAGGTGCTTATTAGCAATGTAGGTTATTTAAAGGCATTGATAGGCTGATTCCTAAGTTGTGTGATGCAGAATGTTCTTCTGGTACCAATATCTGTTTTGTTCCTGGTTAAATTCTCCCCAGTCTCAAAACTGTAATAACACACACAGATCTTGAGCCATCTTTCTTTCCCAACTCACCTGGATAACTCCTAGTGCCTTGTGTCTTATTGGTATCCCTCTTTGCTTTGTCTTTTCCCCTCCTGTCTTTCTTTTAGAGAAACTGGTAAGCCCTCCAGCATCAGCAGCTGCTTCCAGTCCTAGCACTTCTTCGTCTCCTCAGCCAGTTTCAGAGCCTGACTTGTCATCAGAGCCACACCTGCTGTCTTCTAAGGGTAACAGCAGCTTGAGGATTCCAAGTATTTGGAAGAACTGCATGGTGTTTTCAAAACCATTTTGTCTTTTAACCCCCCCTTCTTGCTCCTGAACAAAGTTAACCTCAGCAAGGATTACAGCAGTAGTCTTTCTGAAAACCTTGGTGCATTTGCTTCTGCTCCAGGTATTTGATTGGTGGATGAAAAGGAGCTTGAGTTCTGGGTAGTGTTTTAAATGTTGAGGCAGAACTAGCTAGAGGGAAGGCAGCTAGTGGCGTAGGAGAAATCCAGTGAAATGTGGGGACCAGGAAGCAAGGAGGCTGGGCAGTGATCACTAGTTAAATTCAGAAACCCTTCCTTGAAGGCTACACCATGGAGCTTCCGGAAGAACTATGATGATCAGAAACCACAATGCAAATTGAAGTTCAAGGAATTGAACCTGTAAGCCTAGAATACTGATGGCTTATAGGACATGCATCACACCAAGCTGTTGTATAGCGGAATGTCTTGTCTGTGGATGACTGGCTGGCCTTGGATAAGATTTGGGCTACTCTTGTGGCCTTTTAAAATGTGTTGGTTTTGAGATTCTGGTTTGAGATTGTGCTACAAATATCGGATGCCAGGGTTTCGCAAGAGGAGAGGACAAGTAACTGCTTGGGGGGCGGGGAGAGGGTGCCTGCTGGGAATGGCAATGTTGACAATGTTCAAAACTGCATGAAGGAATTTCTACTCAAAATTTCTACAGTAAAATTTGCCTGTGAGGGCTGCGTTGCATGTTATGCTTTGTGTGGCTACTAAGCTGTTCTCTTGCATGTGTCTTGTCCGTGGCTGTGCATTGTCTGTCCAGCTTGAGAACATAATTGAAGCTAGGCAGGTTGCATTACCTTGGCATGAATTAACTTGGGGGTTTTTTAGAACAGAGGTCTAAGGCTCTGCAAATGTCTCTCTTGGCTGCAAATCTAATCAAAACTGCTTTTCTGAATCAAGGATTCTGGGGAAGCTTATAGGGGGCTTGAGACTTAACAGTAGAAGCCGTCTGAATATCGTGCATCATACATTCAGGGGGATAGTGAGTTGTGACAGGTTTGTTGCAATATTTCCACATGGAGGTAAGTTGTAGTTGGCTCCATCAGATTTTCCTCTGGTGATGCTCGAGTTTGCTTTTTAAGGGCTCTTCAATTAATGGTACGCATTGTCCCTTGGCTGCTTTAGCAAGAGGTTCAAATCTGCATTCTTAATAAAAACAATTTGGTCAAACTGCGCTGAGACTAAACTTTACACTGAAGTGTTTGGGTTGCGTTTTGGTGGCAATTTACCCTGCATAGTTGCTTTTAGTTACAGCATGATCTAGCCCCTAAATGCCATTGTAGTGCAAAGCTAAATATGCACAAGGGACAGTGCTGGAACATTTAATCTCAATTCTGGGAGGCTTTGTACGTTGGAACAGGACTATACAATCAAACAAAAAAGAAAATTCTGCACCCAAACTACTGTGTGTGCTTTTTAGTTCAAGAATGAAGGCTTTCAAAAGATTTTCACATTTTTGAGACAAACTTTGGTTTCTACTATCGTTTTACGAGATTTCCTCACTGTTAAGAGTTTTAAGTGGTGAGATGGAGTAACGAGTTTAGTACCTGTTGAGTGGCAGAGTTGTGCCACATGTCTGCTAGCTAACGAAACTCCTGCTGAATTTCTTTCCCCGCCCTGCAAAGATTCCAGACTTCACTGTGTCTGTCAACTTGGTTTCAAGCTATGTTAACACGGGTGAGACATTGGGAGCCATTTTCACAAACAGGGATTCAGTGGAGACCCAAATACTTTATTGGAAATATACAGACTGCCTAAACATTTTCTTACAATCAAGCGGCACATAAATTTTGCTAGATAAGTAAATTAAAAAAACTCCACTCACTGTTCGTCTCTCTTCTATACCATGAACAGCCGTATTCTGCACCTTAACCAAATAATAGTTCTTGTGGATTTGCTACTGCCGGGTAGCAGTGTGCCTTTGCGAGGGGAAAAGCCTGTTTAAGTTAGTACTTTTTCAGAGCAATGTGAGGTCCAAGGCACATGGGGAAGTGAAGGGCTGATAGGCCGCAGAAACCATGCAGGTGTGCTAGTCTGCTGTGGATTATTGGCTACTAAGTACCTCTTTGAAATGTGTGCTTATGCATGAGGATCAGAACATGTGTAAATCATGTGGCTATGTAGAAGGCTAACATCTGTGATATTGCATGCAATTTAAACTAGTTGAACACTCCTGGTTGACACCGAGGGTGGGGAATTTTGGACCTGTGGCCAATCGCTACCTTCCAGGCCTTGGGGCTCTTACCCCAGGCCTTATCCCTCATTGGCCCTGTTCCACACCCTCCTTGAGTGTTCTTGCTTGGCTGGAATGGGCCCTTGAACTCGGATAATTTATGTAGCTTGCTTGTCTCAATGGAGAGGTGTGTTTGTGTAGAAACTAGTTTACAGTACAAGGTAAAAGTTCCATTTTTCACTTCAGCCTGTGAGTACTCTCGCTAAACATTTGCCTAGATTTCTGTCTGGGACCATCTTGCTCAACCGGATAGCTGTCAGTTTGAATGCTTTTCAGTGGTTAATCTGACTTCCCAACATCAGTTAAAAGAAAATTTAGATTCTATATGTATTTTATTTCTATGCTATTACTCTCATTTCCTGGACTGGATTAAAACCAAGCCGCCATCTCACCTGAACATAGTCTCAAATGCAGGAAATGTATTCTAGGTGAAGCCCCTTTTCAGCAGAACTTTCTGTTCCAAACTCTTTTGGCAGGATGTGGGAGACTAGTTCCAGTTCAGAACCACCACCATGAGTCCTGACAATTCCTTGGTTTCCCCACAGGAGCTGCTTTTCCATCAGTTCATTCAGTGCGCAAAAGTCCCATGGTGGAGCAGGCTGTTCAGACGGGCCCCATTGAAAACTTGAATCCCAAAAAAGCTCCTCCAATCAAAGTCATTCCGGCGGTCCAGCGGAACATGCGCCAGATTCCACAAAGTAACAAGACAAGTGGTACAGAAATGCTTTCTTTCAGAAATATGTCAGCACTGTTAAAACCAGGTCTGAAGTCTGCTTCAGCTAACATCTGCTGATACCGTTCAGCTTGTTGGTTTATATTGTTGAGTTGAATAGACTTTCCTATTTTGCCTTAGATACAGTTGAGCCAGCGCCTGTTCAAATGCAAGGGCAAGTGAATGATGAGAATAGAAGGCCTCAGAGGAGGAGATCAGGTATGTTACCTGACTGTAGATTTTTCCACACTGAATTGCCTTCCTGTGTGTTACTTCTGTATGTGTAAGATTGGGCAGAAGAACATGGATTAATGCACCACTGATTCTAGAGGACTAGAACAAAATGGCATTTGATAATGTCATGTCTAGAAAGGAAAGCATGTGGATAACTGGCAAATCACATCTTTGACCCACAAGACCCTGAGGTCTGTCTAGTTAACATGACTTAAGCAATCCAAAGCACAGACCACCGTCAGTCCATTTGAAAATGTCAAAATCCAAGTTGAAATTTCTTGAGTTATGAGCCAATTAGTATGCCTGAATGGCTACTCTAATTTCCAGTTACTTGAAAACTTCACAATAGCAGTTCAGTAGCAAAAGGTCTCACTGTGTTACAGCTTTAATTGAGAAGGGGCCTGAATTGTTGAATCCTAGAAGTTCATGAATGGGTAAATTCAAATACTGGGTGTTCTGGTGCTCCACACCAGTATTACACTCATAGGCATTCAAGTAGCAAATAGCCGGAGCAGCTGGGCTGCTATAATTATCTCCACAACAGAAGTATAATGACAGGTGTAGCATCACTCCATGGTCACATGCAAGGAACCTGGCCTGTCTAGAGCCAGGGAAACTCAAGTTAGGAAGTATTCTTCTACTTCTTTTCAGGAAACAGGAGAACCAGGAATCGCTCCCGAGGGCAGAATCGACCCACTACCGTGAAAGAGAATACAATAAAGTTTGAGGGCGACTTTGACTTTGAAACTGCAAATGCGCAATTCAACCGAGAAGAGCTGGACAAAGAATTCAAGAAGAAGCTCAATTTTAAAGGTTTGCAAGTTCGCTAATGTGTGTTCTTGTTGTGATCTGGATGCCAGTTCCTCCAGCAATGGGTGAAGGGAAGCATCTGGCTGAGGACAAATGGCAACGTGGCTTGTTCATTGCGCACGAATGTGTTTTTCCAGATGAGAAAGTTGAGGCAGGAGAAGAAAAGGGGGAGCCTGCTGTTGCTGCTGAGAATTGCGATGGCAATGCAGATGAAGAACTCCTAGGGCCCAACTGCTACTATGACAAATCCAAGTCTTTCTTTGACAACATCTCATCAGAACTGAAACAAAGGTTAGTTACTCATGGATCTTAGAACCTCCACTTTATAGCTTCATTGGCTTTCTAATCATAGTCATCAGAAGTCCCCGGTTCTATTCATTTGGGTATCCCTTTCCCCACCCTCCCTGGTCAGGGAGCTTGTGAAGTTGATCTGAGGCTGAATGTTCAAAATCATCATCGTTATCATATTGAAGAGTAAATTGGTGCTCTGTCCTTAACCGTGCACATCATTCAAGGGAACGGTTTGCAACACCATCTGGGGGGGGGGCATGTACAGTGGTGCTTCAGGTTAAGTACTTAATTCGTTCTGGAGGTCCGTTCTTAATCTGAAACTGTTCTTAACCTGAAGCACCACTTTAGCTAATGGGGCCGCCGCGCCGCCAGAGCATGATTTCTGTTCTCATCCTGAAGCAAAGTTCTTAACCCAAGCGTCTGTAACCTGAAGTGTATGTAACCCGATGTACCACTGTATTCTGATGGGGAAAACTGGTCCTTTGTTCCTTAGTTCAAGGCGTACAACGTGGGCCGAAGAACGGAAGCTCAACACAGAGACGTTTGGTGTGTCTGGGCGGTTTCTTCGTGGCCGTAGCTTTCGTGGGGGATTTCGTGGCGGAAGGGGGTCTGGAGCTGTGCGGCGAAGTCAGGCTCCTCCCAGAGTGGGCACTGGAAGAGTGTGAACCTTGCAGGCAAGCTGTAAAATTAAATTATCTTTGGTTCTGGGTCTGGAGTGCTTTGGGGCGTTCTCTGCATCAAGTAAATCAAATTGTCTACCCGGTAAAATGAGTTTGTCCATCGGAACCAACCAGTTCAAGATCTTCATGGCAGTGAAACTTAGGAAACTGTTTCTGTAGAGCTGTATTTGTCCTGTGATTTCTTTGGAGAAAGGATAATAAAATGCAGGTTCTGGCTCAGCTCTTGGCGTTAAGGGAAGTGTGACATAGAAGCACCTCTCTGCTATCTATGTTTCTAACCTATTTCCAATGAGCTCAGGGTAGCGCATATATATATATATATATATATATATATATAGTTAAGTATCAAGTGCAGAATCTGAATATTTCAGTTCATTTTCCCCAGCATTTTGAGAACCAGGCTGGGAGGCAATAGGGAAAATGTTCTCATGCAAATGTAAAATGCTTGTTTTTCTTTCTGTTGTCCAGGTTCTCAAGCGTGTTCTGTTACGATGTGTACATAGGAAGGAGGTAACAAGCAGACCTGCTGCACTTAAAACATGGGTGAATGGAGTGATATGTCCACAAGCTTGTACTCCTGACGGCACTGCTGCTTCTGTGTCAAAGCAGGATTGGCGCACTGGAGCAACTTGGACAAAGATGCGTGCTCACTAACCACCTTTACCAGGAGTCTCTTCTTTTTTTTCTTTAAGGTAGCACAAGGAACTTGTGCTGCTTCTAGGTTCCAAAGGCTGCTATAGCTGAACACACAGAACACCTAATCTGTTCCCTGAAGGAGATGAGACAATTCTAAATTCTTCAAAAAGCGAACCAAAGCTTGTTTGAAACCAGCAACCTCTTAATCTGTGGAACAAAGATTCTGCTGGTCTCCTTCCTTCTGTTGTTTCTTATTTCTTTTTTTGTCTTTTCACCATTCACCCTCCAGGTTGAAACAAATCATTTTGATGTCTAGAAACGAGTTGTAGTGCAACAAGTTGTATGTAATGCGGTGATGGGAATTGTCGCTGATCATGTATCTGTAATTCTGGGTTCACCACGTAAATGTATAGTTTCTATGGGGAACTGTACAACAAATTTTCTTGAGGTGCTGGTCACCCCTCCTGTAGGAATGCTAAGCAACTAAGCTGGCCAATGGCAAGTGCCGTTCTCCAGCCCCCTCCCAATATTAGCCTCCTCCTCCTCCCATGCAATGAAGCTTTCTCCATGTGAGGAAGGCTACACATTATGGGATACCCATGCAGCAACTCTTAAAGGAGATTTGAGATTTTACCCCACCCTTAAAGGGGAAAAAAAGTTTAAGCTTTTGGTTAATAGTCCTTTTCTTGGAGAAAGAGCAATACATGCTTTGTATTCTTGGTACACGAGTAGGACTTCGAATCCTCAAAATGGGGAAGAGGAACCTAAATGGAACTTAGGAAACCAGCATGTTCCAAGTCCTTCAACAGATTCCCTCTTTCCCAAACTCTGTAAATAGTTCAGGTCTTTTTTTGTTTTTAAATAATTTTTTGGGGGGGTTGAAAGGTGGGTAAGGAGGGATTATAAACTCTTGCATGAAAGTGGGTTAAGCCTGTAGTAATAGGCATGTGTCCCTTTTTGTTAGCTATAGGAATGTTTTGTTAAAAGGCCTCTTTTGGGTGCCATTTATTCTCTCCCACCCTGTTTCATGGCTAGCTTTTTCAGTTCCTCCCTAGGTCATGCATTCACTTATGTTGTTATAAAAGCTTGGGTTTATTTTGTAGGCCTTTATCATGGGCTGCTTTATGGAGTCATGTAAATTGTAATTACAAATAAACATGTAAATGTTTAATCCTCGTTTTGTTGGCTAACAGTTTTCTGCAGGGTTGTTGCTTTTAATGGAAACATCATCAGCGTGTCTTGACAGTACTAGCAAAGCTTGCTAACCATGGATGAGAGCTGGCTTCATACCAACCGAAAGTAGATGTTCAGGTTTAAGCAGCTGTTGAATTTGAGAAGCTGAGAGGAATAGAGAAGTTGGTAGGGTGGGCCATTGGGGACGTTGCAGCACACCCCATTTCTAGGAAGATAGCTCCCCTCCTGGTGAGAGAATGTGGGACATGGGGGAAGGAGAATGTCGGAGAAAGAGGGAAATAATGCCTTAGGAGGGACGCATTCCTTGGATGATGACCCACTATCTTCCCGTGCCAATGATTCTTCTTCAGGGAGTAGAGATCTTGGTAGTCTGATTCAGTCACTGGAAACATAGAAAGTTGGGTGTGTGAAATTCTGGAGGGTGAATTACCTTCCTGTCACGATGGTTGTGGTTGTCACACTGCCTAGTGCTAGGAAGGAGCTGATAGTCACGGTGCACATTGGCATGCATGATATGGGAAAATCGGTCATGAGATCATGGAAGTAAGTTAGGTTGCCAGGTAGGATGTTGAAACCAGGACATCCAAGGTAGCGGTCTGAAATGCTTCTGCTTCCCCCACATGCAGCACCAGATAGGCAGAGCTTTATAGTCTCAAAAGTGTGAATGGGACTGATTTTGGGAGGAGGGGTTTGGACTTCTTAGGCACTGGAAGAGCATTTTGGGACAAACCGGGCCTGTACAAAAGGAGTGGGTTCCACTTAAACCTGGATGGAAGCCAACTGTTGGTGCTTGAAGTAATGGTGGCAGAACAGCTTTTGAACCGATTGCTGGTGGGAGGAGAGGAAAGCTAACAGGAGCCCAAATTGTCTGCCTGGGTTGAAGATGAAAAAAATAAATGGTAATTTAACTGGGTAAAGGTATAAACCTAGGCACTGAAAGTGCCAAATGGCAATTCAGAGGCCAAAGCACCGCAGGCCAAAACACAACTGCCAAGAGAACCTGAAGAGAAACACTATATAAAAAAAATGCTAACGCTAGAAGCCGCCAAGACGGGCAAACTGGAGTGCTTGATTCTGTGGGCATAATGAAAACTTGGTAGAATGGAAAAAGCCAGTGGGACAGTGTTATCTCCGGATTCAAACTCTATGGGAAGGACATGGTGGCAGTGCTAGTGCATAAGAGGGCATTGAGTGAAGCAAAGTAAATAACAAAGGGAAGACTTCTTCACAGAACCATTGTGGGTGGTGGTACTGGGTCCCAAGTGTAATTGAGTTCTGGAGGTTTGCTAGTGTTTCCCCCGAGCAAGATATTCAGAGAGATCTTGAAATGAAGAATGAAATCAAGCAAGCATCCAAATGAAGAAATGCAGCAGCCCTTACACAGACTACATAAGTGTTTTGACAGGAGTAAAATTTCTAGATACCTTACATTACTGTGTCCTAGAACAGTTTGCCATGGAACCAACCAGAGGGACATTGACCCTGGACTTAAAATTAAGTAGCATGCAAGTGGCATTGAACGAACTAAGAGTTTTTAAAACAAGAAGTTCAGCTGGACTGTATACCACTGATCAGGTAAGGTACCATGAGAGCCAAGAGTCATTCGATCGGTGTGGCAGCACTTACATTTCGCTCTACCTATTGAGATAAGGCAGGTGCAGTCACTACTCCTTGGCACCTGCTAGTAACTTTCTTGCTTAGTCAAGCCTACCCAGATGCTTAGAAAGTTGAGGCAATTTTAAACTTTTGTATGCTTTAAAGGAGGGTTGTGAAGTTTTTGTTTTTCCCATTTCAAGTGGTGTACATATTTTATTAAATAAGAGAATGCCACAAGCGGAGTCAAGGAAGTGGACAGGAAAGCACTGGAATTCTTGCACAGAAGAGAGGTAGATGTGTGTCATTTACCTGCTGGTGATACTGAAGCACAAATCCAACTGCTATGGAGGGGAGATTGTGCTTTATATTTCATTACAGTCTAATAATTATGTGAAGCAAGACTATCCTACATTGCAGAGGAAGTCCATGATTTTAATCTAGTTTGTATGAACCCTAAAATAGGCTGTTCTTTCAACCTGCCTTTATTAACAAACCACCACTGACCTTTACTTGTCCTATGGACCCCTATTGCTTGATTGCGATAAATGGCAGAATTAGAGGACAGCCTGCAAGCTTAATAGAGAAGCTCTAGAATTTTTATTATTAGCAGCACCAACAGGACTGTTTATTGCCATGGAAATATGTGACACCTAAGGCTGGGACATAGGTGGCGCTGTGGGTTAAACCACAGAGCCTAGGGCTTGCCGATCAGAAGGTCGGTGGTTCAAATCCCCGCGATGGGGTGAGCTCCCATTGCTCGGTCCCTGCTCCTGCCAACCTAGCAGTTCGAAAGCACGTAAAAGTGCAAGTAGATAAATAGGTACCACTCTGGTGGGAAGGTAAACAGCGTTTCCGTGCGCTGCTCTGGCTCGCCAGAAGCGGCTTAGTCATGCTGGCCACATGACCTGGAAGCCAATAAAGCGAGATGAGCGCCACAACCCCAGAGTCGGTCACGACTGGACCTAATGGTCAGGGGTCCCTTTACCTTTAAGGCTAGAAGTTGCTTTTGCAGGGAAAGGAAAGGTATTTGTGGAACTTGAGGTATGCATCTATACCATAGAACTGTTTTGATAGCAGGAGAAACATGTTGCCCATTAATGACATACATACCAAACCCACCTGTATATAAGTGAAAGGATAAGGCCACCTGCCTAGGACAGTTCAGGTTCTCAATCATGCAGTCTGGAGATGCAGACTCCTATCCTCAAAAATGAAGCATGCCTTAAAAAACCTAGAGGGGCTGTGAGCTTTCAATTGCAAGATTTTACTAGCAGCTTTAAAACTTAATTGAATACTTGAAATTGCAAGAACTCTGGAAGTATGCCACTGAAGTCAACGGAAAACCTCTTGTATTCCACAAGAATGCCTTCAGAACCATTACCTTCCTTTATCTGCTGTCCCAAGTACTGCAAGATGTGTTTTAAGTTTTACTTCTGACTTTTACACCCAAATGCAGCACTCAAGTTTTGAACCAACTTGTTTATACTGCAAAAGATGCGGGAAAATTAGGGGTTTTGATAATAACGGCAACAAAAACATCATTTGCAACAGGAGGAAAGAGAAGGCAGCAGTAGTCATGGACAATAAAGAGATAGCAAATAAGGGTGACTAAAAATCAAGTTTGCCCTCAAACTTTGGGTTTATACACAACTTACAAAAAAGGTTTTCACTGATGAGAGAAGTTGTAGTACCATGACCAAGTTAAAGTATACACTGAAAAATCAGGTACATGGCATTAACAGATGTTTAAAAAAACACAGGTGGTTTATTATAGGCCACTTGACAGTGAATAGGAAAATGGAATGCCTACATGTCTATACAGAAACTCATGATTGATTTAAAAACCAAAAATGGCTAGGCAGTTGAGTTTCACACATCATGTTGTTGTTGTTTTCTTCTGTTTCTTCTTCTCGTTTTCTTCCTTCTCCTTTTCAATTTCAGCAACATACTTTTCAATTTCATCAGGGCTCAAGATCTGTAACAGCAGTGACAAGATTGTAGTGGGTCTGAGTACCATGTGCATGCAAGGGCTTTTCTATGCCTCCTCTACTGCTAAGGATCATGTGGTCATCCAGAGCAGCATGAAGAAATCAATGTGTCACCCCCTCCCAATGGTATGCACAGGCGTGCTTTCCACTCATTCATGGGACTGTTAGGATGCTGTCCCCCACATAGGGAATTTAGGCTAATTTAGGAATTATCAAGCCAATTTGGTTTTGGACAACCTCTCAAATGAGAGGCAGCACGAGATGAGGAACAACAGCTATGAACAATTAAGGCTCAAAGTGCTCCTAAGTATGGAACACGATCACACTGGAATCCCCAAATGAACAACTGACGTCCAACTTTTCAGGACCAAGTAATAAAAAACAACAGACCCTAAAGTTGAGTGTGAAGCATTGCTTGGATACAAACAGGCACAAGAAGGTTTTATTGAATGCTAAAACTAAAGGGGGCAAGTCAGTCTTAACTGGAGGCGAGTTTAAAACTGCACTGTTGCTACTGAGCGGAAATCGACGCTGCTTTTGAAATTCAGAAGCCACTGGAAACTTACCTTAAGAGGCTGGTTTCTTCTCATAACAGCCAGCTCAATATTTTTCCCACCAGACTGTACAACCTTAAATTCAAGAAGTTAAGCAAAAGTGTTAGGAAAAGACTTTCCTGCAACACAAAAGTATTTTTGCAGAAATATTAGAACCATTGGCATTTTAATTCTTGTTTTTGCTAAATGAAAATTAAAATATAACTATTAGGGCATGAGACCTGGCTTCTCAAACCTGTTCAACAGCCAGCGCTTTAACTTTAAAAGAAATGGAAACTGTATGTAAACCTGTCAATAGCCACCCGCCTTGTTAACTAAAGAAGACTCAAATTTAAGACTTGGTTGTTCCAACTCACTTCAAGAAGTGCCTTAATCACAAGCTTAATGGTCAGATCATCTGTTTCAATGGCTTCATCAGTATAGTTTTTTTCCAAAAATTCACGCACTGACTTCGCTCCTCTGCCAATTGCATTAGCCTGGAATTTTAAAAGTTCATTAGAAATGAGTTTGCAAGCCAACAGAAATCTAGATGCATAACTGAAAAATGTACTCTCTTGCTTAAATTTTCTATCTATATTGCCTTGAAGTGTGTGATAACACTTAAAATCTATGGGTTATATGCAATGCAGTTGTTGCATGAGCAGAATAGAACTTCCATTTAAACAATAAGGCTTCATTTTCCTTTCCCCTACAGCCCCCTGTGCCTCCTCAAAATCTGCTCCAGAACAAACAGAACTCTCCTCGTGCAGTGCTGGATAAAACCCAGAGTAGCAACAACAAAAAGGACAATGGGAACTAGCTTGCAAATTTCTGGATGCATCTAAAACTAAGAAAAACAAAAATTACTTTTACTTCAGTCCTTTAATCGTCAGATTCCCTCAAAAGCCAAAATTTTGTACTCCAACCCACCAAAGACAGATCCACACATCCTTTGGCAAGGAGAGAGAGGGTTGACCATACGTTACTGTGTCCCCTGCCCCCTTGCTATGAGCCAGAAACTTAAACTGTAGATAGATTTACTTATGTGAATGAAGTGCTTCTGTTCATTCCATCTTAGCAAGATAAACCCAACTCACTTTCCAAGCATGGTATGTGCCAGAAGGATCAGTCTGATAAAGCCTTGGAGTTCCATCAAAGTCAAATCCTACAATCAGGGCAGAAATACCAAAAGGCCTGCGGCCATTGCTCTGGGTGTACCGCTGAGGAGGAAGAGAAAAAGGTTGATTAGCATAAATGTAAGCCTAAAGAAGTACAGATTTCTCATGAAATACATGTATAGCACTGGATATTTTTCTTAACTTATTGACTGAGGAAAACATAACCATTGCAAGTGTTCTGAGGAGTTACTTTATTATTAAACCGTATGAAAAAAAAAGAACAAGCTGGAATCAGAAAAGGCCAATTTAACTGGTTTTGGTTTTTCCATCCCACTCCTGACAAAATTAGGAATTTTTACTAATGGATTGTACAGAGAGATTCTTCTTCAGTAGTAAACCAGAGCTCTTTTCCAATTTTACTAGGAATACCCGACTCACTTATGGTCAAAATATACATTCACTAATTAATGTGTTAATGATCAGTCCACTGATTCTTAATAGCTATCAGGTGTTGCAGTAGCAGAGAATAAGAGATTAGAGATGACTTCATATTTTAGTTATTTTTGAAATGCATTGTTGGTGCATTGTTTGTAAATGTTGAATATACATACGTCTGGTGGACCTACATTATTGTCTGATTTAGTTAAGACAAAATTACTAAAGTTGGGAAATGAAAGGCAAAAAGTGGCAGAAACCACAACCACAATTTCAAATACTGACACCAGGTAAATACTAATTCATATTACTTTTCACTGTCTGTGGAAGAAACTAGGGAGGCATCTATACATTGTTACTCAGCAAGTTCAATAAAATATAGCAGCTGCATTACATTATGTTTCTCTGGAATTCTCTGGTATTAACCACCTTTTAACAAGCACTATATTGCTTTTTCTTTGTACATACCTGCTTCAGGCTAGCAATATACCGTGTAATGTACTCCACAGTGACAGGGTCTTCCACTGTAAGTCTATGACTTTGGCATTCCACCCGAGCTCTATTTATAACTATCCTGGCATCTGCTGTGAGCCCTACGAATAATACAAATGGGCAAAATGTGCCATTTAGCATACAACACATATAGAAACATTGCTGCTTTAGAAAACATTAATCAAAAGAAATGGGTGAGAAAAGAGGATTAATGACAGGCCACATTTATCGTGCTGGTTAATAAAATATGTATGTTCAAAACTTTGTAATTTTGAGGGGAGTTGCATCCAGCATTACTCTAAGCAGAGTTCCAATTTGTGTTGGAGGTAGGGGGCAGATTCTTCCTTTCCCCTGCAACCTCCTGAAATGCTATTTCAGAGGGCTCAGGGACTCTGCAGAACAGTATTGAAGGTGATGCTGAGGACTTACAAAGGGAACTGGCAAAAAAAAAAAGAATAGTCACTCCCCTTCAGCAAGGAATCTCCAATGGATGTTAATTTCCTTTGCAAGTGGAAAGAACCCTTCTATTCAGAGGGGCAAGGCTAAATCTAACTCTGTACATTAGAAGTTGGTAGAAAACTAGAGGAAACATCCAATGTATGTCCTGCAATGTATTAAGAGTCATACTGGTTATCAAGCTCAAAAGGTTTTTGAGCTGAAAAGATTTAAGCAGACTCTTCCTGACTGGCCTTCTTCTACTCGGGCTGCTTTTGGCTAAAAAGGAAAGAAAAGAGAAGGAATTCTGCATCAAATTTAGTCCTTAGTTTTGAACAGATTGAAAACTCTGTGTTAACCTATTTTGTTAATATCTTACATGGCAGCTGCCAAATATTCTTTTTAGAGCTATGAAACACAAATTGGCAAGGTTTGACAACCTAGAGTTTAAGTACTGGGCTACAAATCAGGAAAGCTATTAATTTTATACCTAGAATAATTAGATTAACCGCTAAAGAAAGTTTTAATAGGCCTTTATTTTATCATTTACATTTTTCGCAATTGTTGATACTTTCACTATCTGCATTCAAATTTTAGAAACTAATCATAATTAGATGGTGTACTTTTAAGCATATGCAAATACTTCACATTTGTTTTATGAGAAGTTTATAACACAAGTGTACAAGAAAATGAAGCAGAGCAGTTCCTAACAGAGCTGTCCAAGACAACACTCTGAATACAAAAAGCAGAGGAGTCACTTAATTATTATTATTTATTGACTTTATATACAGTGGTCACGTTTCGGCGCTTCTGCACATGCGTGACGTCATTTTGAGCGTCTGTGCATGCAGCGAAACCCGGAAGTAATGCACTCCGTTACTTCCGGGTTGCCACGGAGCGCAACTCAAACGCGCTCATCCCGAAGCACATTCAACCAGAGGTATGACTGTACTGCCCTATACCCAGGGGTCTCAAGGTGGTTCACTTAAAATCATCTCCCTCACCTATAACATAACCTGCATTTAATTTTTTGCTTTTCTTTGCAATTAAGATATTTAGAAGAGCTACCTGAAAGCTGAAATGACACCGCTTATTTTTGCTGTACTGAAGAATGTTCTACTAAACAACTCAATTTTACTCCAAAGCCCCATTCCTGGTATTTAGGGGACTTCATCATAACAGTACCTGCAAAAGCCATGCAGACATTGTCATCAAGGGCACAGATCTTTCGGACAGTTCTTTCATCCTGAAGTTTTGCCACAGATTTCTTCTCCACGCCAAGAACAACAATATCTTTTCCTCGTACTCCAACCTTAAATATTACACAGTGCATTAGAGATGACATTTTCAAACAGCTCCCTCAAATATTAACTATAATAAAGTGTAACAGAAGCAAAAAACAATAGGTGAAGGCAACCCACATTGACTAGACAACAGTGCTTTAACACTGACTTGCATACGAAGCATGAAATTGTTTACATGTGACTCTATAAACAGTATTTTTGTGATAATGAGTTGGCATATCATATTTCATTGGGTGATATCCAATTGCATCATTTATACCCAGTGCAGACCCACTGAAAACAATGAACCTGCTAACACTGGATATCACCCATTAAACTGAAGAAAACTGAAAATATTTTACAGCTTTAAATAATTTTAAGATAGATGAAGAAACTTTAAGCAAAGTTCCAAATAATCTATAATTTTCTTATGTTCAATTTCTGCCATAGTCATACCTATTCCATTTCTCTCAGCAGTATCCAACCTCTGCCTTTCATGCTCACATCTCTCTGAAAATTGAGCAACTTCTGAATGCTTTAATGACCTCATCACAGAATCGTAGAATTGGAAGTAACCCAAAGCGTCATCTACTGTTCCTTTCCTTCCACTTCACTTATCAGCCTTTCACCTTACTTTCCATGCAGCTCCTCTTTCAAATATAAAACACACAATTTAGGTAGTGATGAGGCCTCAGCCACACTCTGCAATGATCTAATCTCCCTTAGTAGACTTTGACATGGTTGCACTTTCATTCTTCACATGCCAGCCCACTCCCCCGATTCATTATATATGCACCTAACCCTTCAGAATTCAGTCATGCAACCTCCACTTATCAGATATAGTCTGACAACTTGTTCCTGTGTTCTAACTGCATGGTTGCTACTAGATTTCTTCCCCATGGTTTACACAGCCCTTTCAGTCAACTCTGACCATGCTATCTCTCCAGACCCTTTGGAGTTCTATGCCTGAACATCTGAACGACACCATATTAAGGAAGGTTGTTTTAACTAATACACTACTTTACTGCTTCCCTAATCTTCACCATTATGCATGTGTGTAGCCATATGCAATTGCACATGTCTGTATTTGCACACAAACTTCCTGGCATGTACTAGTTAGACAACAAGTGTGATGGGGTAAAAGAATTGGTGAATATTCCTGCTAGCTCTCTGCCTGCAGAGTGGTGGGATTATGTGTTTAGTGGGGGAGGCATTGAAGCATAAAATTCTGATTGCCTTTGTTCAACAAAGGCACTGATTAGAACTGGCACTTCCTTACAGTTCCTATGTGTGCCACATTCTGAATAACAAATTAGTATAATTTGGATATGCAGTAAATTAAAATATAAACAAGGAACTGCAGAAGAGGAGAAGGGGATTCAAAATCAGAATTGATTGCCTCTGATTTAAATTTATTTTTATTTTGTATATTGTAAAAGCCTGTAGCCACATTCTGAAGGCTATTATTTTTTGTTACAATCACAGGCCTGCATCGTCAAAACGCTGCCCCACATCGTTTGCCTACTTAATCTGAATTTTCTGCTTCCTTGGAATATCTGATAAATTTAAAGAAGGAACACGATAGAAATCCCAAATCCCCTTCACACCTGAACAGCCTCAGCCCCACCACAAGCTTCAGTGGAGGAGGTTTAAATGTGCTCTTAAGGTTTTCGAGGGCTGTGCTCCGAAAGATCTGGACTCCAGCATCTCTTTGTCAGGGGTGCCAACTTGGAATAAAATATTCTCATGATGTGGTGTGCACACACAACATTTGAATGGTAATTATTATTATTATTATTTATTGAATTTATATATTGCCCTATACCGGGAGATTTCATGGCGGCTCACAGAACAAAATCAAAATATAAAACCAAAAAGTATATACGGTAATCAAAATAAAAACAACAACCCAATAACCTCCCCATCATCAAGTTGGGGGTGGGGAAGCAAAGGGAGCTGGCACCTCTGTTCCGCGTGTTCACCCTCTCACACAAAAAACACCGGGCTTATTTATGTTTATGAAACATGTTTTATAAATAGACGAACTTATAAATGAATTAAATAAGCGAGCTGAGGCGCGGCTCCCTTTGATGGTGGAAAGAGCCTGAGGAGAAGGGGGGGAGAGACCTGTACCCCCAATAAATAATAATAATTATTATTATTATTATTTTAAGAAAGATATACAGCTGCATCATTAATAAAAACAGAAACCACCACAGGGTTTTACAAGGACGCGAGCCCGGCTCCTCCGCCCAAGGCTCCCGCTCCCCCTCGCGGCCTTCCGGCCCCTCTCTTTCGGCCCTGCCTCCTCCGCCTTACCGCTGTGGAGCCCTTTTTCACGGCCTCCTGGGCGTACTCGACTTGGAAGAGGTGCCCGTCAGGGGAGAAGACGGTGATAGCCCGGTCGTAGCTCATGGCCGCCGCTGCCTGAGAGAAACAGAAACGGCCGCCGAAACTCTCCGCCCGGCGCTCTTCCTCCTCAAAAGAGCACCGTCACTTTCCTCGCCGCGCACGCGCGAGACGGTATTCACGCAACGCCCCTGCGCACACTCCGGCGCCCCAACCATAGAGTCAGGAGGGGAAGCGCGCGAGGGAAGAGGAGGGAGCGTACGTGGAGTGCGTACCCGCCGCCGCCGCCGCCGCCGCACTCAATCCACTCGGGTCTATCGGCTTGGCCGACGCAGAGCGGCGACGCGATTGGTCGAGTAAGCCCCTGCCCCGCCCCCCCAGCTTAAGGCGAGCGCTTTGGTACGCAAACAGCGGAGGTGAGGTAAGCGCGCGGGCGGCCGGCGAGCCGAGCGGCGCTGCGCACACGACGTACGCGCGAGCTCGACGACTGTTCCTCTCTCCGCCTCTCCACCTGCCGCCCTCACGCACTTGGCGTACCGCGGCCTCCTTTCCCTACGCACTTGGCGCACCGAGATGCTCCTGTTGGCCAAGACAGGGAAGAGATGCTATTCGCTTGCGACAGGAAACCCAGCAGCAGGGATGCACCATGTGCATTGCAAAGGGGGAGGAGGGGAAGGAGCTGGATTTGGAGGAAGGGGGGGGTGAGCGGAGCAGCTCAGGTGGCTTTGCTGCCTCCTCCACCACCAAGCCTCGGCAGCTGGCTCTCCGCCTTGCATTGGGAGTAGGAGCGTCCAGGTAAAGGGGGTGCACGAAGGTTCTTGGTGCAATGCCCCTGGCTCATTGCAAGGCGCAGATTGTACCATCTGCTCTGGCTCCCCTCCTCATGCACTGCGGCGAATGCTGTGCCCGTGCACGGCAATAGCAGCTAGATAATAACAATATTATTACATCCTGGGAACCACTATATTATCTGACACATCTTTTTAAAAAAGACCATCCCACCATGTCGGTTGCCTTTGCTTCTGCTCGCCCAAGAGGCAAAGGAGAGGTCACCCAGCAAACTATCCAGAAGGTAACAGAAAAAGAACCGGGGGAGGGGGGTGGAATTAAGAGCATGCTTTAATATAGACAAGCGTGTGTGTGTGTCAATGTGTGTGCAAGTCTCCATCGTAGGGAGTGGGGAGGGGGAAGGGTAATTTTATAAGATGCTCCCGCTAAGTAGTGAATTTGCAAGGGCTTGGAAAGATGGACCGCTGTAGAAGAGAAGGAGGAGGCGGAACAAAGCAAAGGTGTTCAGATGATGGCAAAGGGAGAGGGGGAAAGATGGAAAGGATCAAAGGAGCCGGGGGAGAATGTTGCAAAATGAGACGGATATATTTTCCTTGCAGGATCTTCGTGCTTGGAAATACTTCCATTGCTGCGTACGTTGCAGAAAATAGCCCAAAGTGCAAACAGACTGTTGTGTGTTATATATGACAGCATAGCAGCGTTTTTAGCACAGAAAGAGAAATCTGCCTATTTGTGGCCGTACGTCTTTATCTTTGTATTTTCCTGTTCGTTTTGGAAGGCTCGTCATGGTTTTAAAGGGGACCTTAAGGAAGTGTGACACTGGATTATCGCTGCTTTTCGTCTTAAGGCTTTCTCTTTTTTTATTACTATTATTATTTTAAAAGAAAATGTGTATTGATGTCAAGTGTTTGGCATGGAACGATTCTGTAAGATCCTCTGAAAAGCAACAACGTTGCAGATTCAAAGGCAAAATCTTAAATGCTTGATGGAGGGAGGTTCGGGCATTTTCATTAATTCATTTCTAAATGGGAGCAGAATTGTAACCTTTGTAAGGAAAACAAGGCAGGTGTTCCCCTGTGTACAAGTTTGCAATGCCGCTTTCTGAAGAGGAGAAAGCCCTGAGAGGGAGAGAGGCAGGGGAATGTACCATCCAAGTTCTCCCCCTGCCTCCCTTTCCCAGGGAAGGGGCTGTAAATAATAGGAGAGGTGTGGAGATGTCAATAATGAGTAATAGATCTGTTAACGCTTAAACAATACGCTATTTCCAGTGCCTGCCTGTCAGCCTCCCTCTATCCTTGGAAGCGGGCATGCTCCTAGCTTCACTGTAGCAATTGTTCAGGAGTCTTAGCCCAGGGTCTTGGAAGAAGCCAAGGAGGATTAAAGATCTGATGACAGCCTGTTTGCCAGTGATGATGGAAAATGCAAGGAGGTGGTGTTGGAGCACAAATCTGCAGCACATAGACAACGCTGTCTTGCAAAAATGCAAGATAGCTTGTTTAAAAACTCATCATAGCAGGTGTAGATCTGGAAGTGTACATTAGGCAGGTTAGGAACCTCCTGTCCTCTCAATATGGGTAGGACAAAAATAGCCAAAGTTAAATGCTTAAGGCTACAGTTCCAAGTCTAGGAAGCAAAGCAAGTGATTTGACTTCTGAGTAAACATTTGGCTGCAAGTCACATTGACTTCCATGGGAGAGATGATTGTTTATATAGTACTATAGTGTTTTATATAGGAACATAGGAAGCTGCCTTATACTGAGTCAGATCATTGATCCATCTAGTCCAGTATTGTCTACACTGACTGGCAGCTGCTCTCCAGGATTTTAAACTGGGGTCCTTCCCAGTTCTGCTTGGGGATGCTGAGAACTGAAGCTGGGACCTTCTGCATGTAGAGCAGACGTTCTTCCACTGAGTTATGGCCCTTCCCCATATCAATCCCTGCCCCAAGGAGTTTACAGTCAGTAAACAGATCTCAATATACGAGTCACTATCTTAATGAAATAAATGGGTCTTTCACATCCTTCACTCTCAGCTTAATAATAATAATAATACCCCACCCATCTGGCTGGGTTTCCTCAGCTATTCTCGGTAGCTTCTAACAAAATTTTAAAACATGCCCTGTGTTGGTTTTTCTTACAGGTTGCTTGTTGGTACTGGATTGTACCAGAGCTTAGCTGACAAAGCTGTTTAGTAGGCTGGTGTGATACTGTGAAATAGATCTCAAACAACTCAAATAAAATATTCTGAATATTACAGTTCTGAAAATGTTTTTAATTTGGGTTTTTAACAAGATGTGTGGGAAAAGGTGTAGGCATTTTGTGATGCGTGCTTCATATAAAAGTGAGCCCTTATCGTTTGTACTGCAACTCTTTTGCAATCCTTTTGTCAAAGCATTTCGTGGAAATTGTTTGCTTATTTGGAGTCCTTGCTACTGTACATTTAAATCCAAGACTGAGAGCTAATTAATCCTGGTTGGCGTTATTTATGCTTAATTTGGCATTCACGGGATTATCACTAGTTTAAGGCCAAGCAGAGCATGAAGGTGGTTGCTATTAGTATCTTGTATTCAGGGATACATACATTATCACTGTGTTTGAAGGTTCTATTGATAGGTTTATTGACTGCCATCAGATGCTGCCAACCTTTTGGGACTCTGTGGGCAGAGTGGGAACTTTCTCTCAAAGTGTGATAGGCACATCCCCCTCAGATTGCTTCTCTCCCCACACCTATTTCTGAGTCAGACAGAAAACCAGAGGCTCAGTGAATGCAAGAACTACTGCTTTTCCGTGGGGACTGGGTAAAAAAATGGATCCAGCAGAACTAAAACAAATCTTCCTGAATTTGCATGCTTTTGCCACAGGGATCCCCAAGAACTTTTAAATTAAATCTTTCAGTGGTAGACTACTCAGTAAAAAAAGTTAAAAAAATCATAGATCCGATGCTTGTCAGCACAACAAAAACATTGATCCAAGGCATATCTTTGTGATCGTTACACAGCACGACAATGAAACCACCAGAACATCTGTGTACGCATAGGTGACCTTTGATTTGATACTGGTTTTGAGGTGATCCCATAGGAATCTATATAATCTTCCCTGTATTACAGTGCAGCTTTTCAGCCTGTTTATTATTAGTAGTAGTACTAGTAGTAATAATAAAGCAAAAAACCACAGCTTGTCAGGGAGAGACCATAGCTCAGTGGTAGCAGTAAACATGCATTGAATCTCTAGGTTTAAAAGAATCAGGACATGTACTCTGGACTTTAGGAAGGCCGGTTGCAGAAAGCTCAAGGAACTACTGAGTGAGATCCCATGGCCACTAATACTCAAAGAGAAGAGAGTCCTAGATGGATGGGAGTTTCTTAAAGGTGAAATATTGAAGGCACAGGTGCAGGCAATTCTAAAGAAACAGTATGACTGCATAAGGAGCTTACAGATGAGCTGGGATTTAAGAAGGGCCCGTATAAGAAATGGAAGAAAGGGAAAATCACAAAGGGGGAGTATACATGAGTAGCCAACAGTTGCAGGGTGAATGTCAGGTTGGCCAAAGCTCAGAATGAGCTCAGGCTTGCAAGAGAGGTTGATAATACTACTACTACTACTACTAATAATAATAATAATAATAATGTTTCTTCAGCTATGTTTGAAGCAAGAGGAAGAACAAGCAAGTGATAGGCCCTCAGGGTCCCTTCCAACTCTGTGATTCTAGGTGATTCAAAAGACCCCTGTCTGAGACCCTGGAGAACCACAGAAAGTGAAAGCAGACAATATTGGGCTAAAGGGCAAATTGTCTGACTTGAGATAAGGCAGGTGTTTCAGTTCCTGTGTTATCCCTAGGCCCCTGTCTACATAGGGAGCTGCCTTATACTGAGTCAGACCACTGGTCCCTCTATCAGAGCATTTTCTACACTGATTGGCAGCAGCTCTCCAAGGTTTCAGGCATTCAGGGACATTCCCAGCGCTGCTTGGAAATGCTGAGGATTGAACCAGAGATTTCCTGCATGCAAGGCAGATGCTACAACACTAAGCTACAGCCCTTCCAGAGTTTCGGCCACACCCCCTTGTTTACTATTATAGATCATCTCCATGCTATTCTGATTCTTAATGCCACTGTAGTAATTGAAAGTAATAACAACAACCTTGTGATACTTAGATGAAGGGCTGCATAGAAATTTAATTCTATTATTAGTAATATATTTATATTTATTAAATTTCTATGCTGCCCTTCATCTGATGATTGCAGGGTGGTTTACAATATAAAAACACAAAAATACATATCATAATAAACAAAAATTATACTCCAGCATTATATGTAATAAATATAAGCAAGGTGACAATTATTTGCATTATTATTATTTACTGAATTTATATACTGCCCTATACCCGAAGGCTGCATGAGGTTTAGTCCAGATTTCAGTGTGAAAGTCTAGCTGTGGCTGGATCATGTCTATAGCCACTTTATTGGTGAACGATTGTCCAACAAAAAGTTCTCAAAGTTGTTTGCATGGTAAAGGGTGGCTTACAAACATATTGCTTTGGGGTAGTCTTTCACACGTAGGCCTTCCTTGCACAAAGAAATGGACTCTCTCTCCCATCTTATTTCTTTCAGTCTTTCTTGGAGAGAAACCCCTCTCTGGAAGCACTGCTTTCCTCCCCCAAGACCTAATTCAGGAACAGATCAGATAATGATAACCATCTAGTTTCCCCTTTTAAAATTTATTTTTAATTTATTAAACTTGTGTATCACCCTTCCTCTGGAGATCTCAGGGTGGTTCAAAAGATAAAAACTCAAAACAGACAATAGGAACAAACACATTTAAAAGGGTATAGGATGTTAGTCAGCCAAAGGCCTGGTTGAAGATGAACGTTTTCACCTGGTGCCTAGAGGTGTATAATGAAGGTGCCGGGAACATTTGGAAGATCCGCAGGTTCCCCACTTCTGACGTGCGTATGAGGTGCATCTTGAATACTCTGCTGTTACAGATGTTGTGCTATTATAAGCCCCTCAGGTGCCCAGGCATAATTTCAGGGGTGAAAAAAAGGCAGAAGTGAGTTGAAAGAGAGAGCTAGTTATCATGGAACACCCTGACCCCCAAACACATCCAATACCTTTTAAAACAACCTAGTTTATGGTGCTGGTAGAGACCCATTTCCATCCATCTCCTGTTGGACTACAGCTCCCATCATTCCTGGCCAGGGGCCATGCTGGTTGAGGTGAATGGGAAGTGTCCAACAACATCTGGAATACATCAGGCTCCCCATCCCTGGCATACATTATTAGTTACCCCTTAAAAAGCAGGAATGGGGGATATGTGACCGACCAGATGCTGTTATACTCCAACGCCCATCATTCCTGACCATTGGTCATGCTGGCTGAGACTAAGGGAAGTTGGGAGTGGCAAAGTATACTGAAGGCTAGAGGTAGGCTGACCAAAATGTTTGAATGGCATGATCCCATTACCCACAGGTCTCTGTAACCCCCTGCCCAATCTCTCATTTGCTTCCTGTTCCTCCACCCCGGCATAATGTGCTTTTTGATTTGATCAAATATCTGTATGCCACATTCCCAGGGACATAGGAAGCTCCCTTCCACTGTCAGATAGTTGGTCCATCTTTTTCATTATTGCCTATATTGACTAGCAGTGGCCTACCAGGGTTTCCGACGGCTGACATTCCAGGCCCTGCTAGGAGATGCCAGTGGTTGAACCTGGTAACCTTCTACATGCAAATCAGATGTCCTGCCTGAGCTACTGAGGAAGCTGAGCTCAGGTCAGCTCAAAGGTTCCTCACATCTGCCATAGAGCCATGGGAAAGAGCCTCAAAGAGTGGACACCTGCAGTCTCTGCTGGGAGCCACAGTTGGGCCTGTGTTGTATATGGAAAAATCTGAACAACTTCCCAAAGCCCCCGACAGCCATTATGTTTTATTTATCTTACTTCATCTCACTTTGCCCTCTCTTGGGAAGTTGCAGATTGTGCCCAATGGGACAGATCAAGCAAATGGGGAGAAAGCAGCTGTGAGGATGGGGTGGCACTACTCAGGGTATCTTGACCAAGCCCCACCCATAAAACCTGCAGCTAGCATTGCAGAGACACACTGTCCTCCCCAGCCCCACAGAATTTGTGTGTGAGGGCTAAGCCCCTAAATACCAGGAATGGAGAGCAGGATTTGACCACAACACATAACCACATTTCCAAGTACAGCACTTTACTGTTTCCTTTGGAAGTGCATGGCAGCTATGCATTTGCAGGAGATAAATTCAAACGGATGCATTTTCCAGAGGAGCCACTGTGGTAGGAATGAACAAGTTGCCTGCCCTGGTGTCCCATGGCTGAGCAAGGCAGTGTTTTGTCTTTCTTGTATTCCAGTTTGCAGATGGTGTGCCTTGCCCCAGAGACCTTTTGGGGAACCACCAGACACAGGCAACTGCCTTACACTGAGTCAGACCATTGGTCCATCCAGCTTAGCATTGCCCCCACTGACTGGCAGTGACTCTCCAGGGTTTCAGGCAAGGCTCACTTGCAGCCCTCTCTGGAAATGCCAGGGATTGAGCCAGCAGCCTTCTGCATATGACTTTTGAAAGACATCTGAAGGCAGCCCTGTATAGGGAAGTTTTTAATGTTTGATGTCACATTTGTGTTTTCATATTATGTTTGAAGCTGCCCAGAGTGGCTGGGGCAACCCAGTTTGATGTGTGGGGAACAAATAAACAGCAGTGCAAACCAAATGCTCTGCCACTGAGCCTATGGCCCTTCGCTAAGAACCAAGTTTGCCTGTCCCTTTATCTACACCCCCCACCCCAATTTTATATTCCATTTCTTAGACTGAACATTTTGAAATGCTATATAGGACATTTATATATATCTTTCTGTAGCTTTTGGGGTAGAAACCGAAACAAACTGGAAATAAATACACTAAAGAAATGTTTGTGCTTCCTCCAGTTCCTTTGCACCGATTAAAATACAAATGTGAAATGCTACGAAAACCTAGGCAAAGAGATGCAGTCCGTGGCTGTGTCATTTTTTAACAACAACAACAACAACAACAAAAATCAGCAATGAAATTATTTCAGGACTTCAACCTTCTTCCACATGAATTAAATTGGCGACCGGGGTGTGGGGGGTGGGTGGGCAGGATCCTTTGCTCCATTCCTTTATGCTTTTCCCCAGTCGTGTTCCCTAGAAACAGAAAGGCTTCTTCTAGAATTTAGCCAAAGGCATAGTTCAGTCAATCATTGCTTTTGATTTTCTCCTAAATGCCATTTCACTGGTGCGTGGCTGCACAAAATCCCCCTTCTGAATGGAAATGTCTCTAAGGAGGGAGACTGGATTGAGGATCTTCCTGCTCTCCTTTCGTCTGCTGCTTCAATCTAGTCACTGATGCAGATTTCAGGCCGAGTTCTGCATCCCTGCTTCTTAGACCACCATCACCAGCTTGGATGCTTCTACCGTGGAATAGGATTTAATGCATGGCTTCCATCCACCAGGAACTGTGTGTTTGGTATTGTGGGCCCAATTCTGTGGAACGTCCTTCTAGCAGAAATCAGACCCCGGCCCCCACTGAACTTCAGACTTCTCAATTATTATTTTAGCAAGTGTTTTGAGTTTCTGATTCCATGGTTAATTTTGTTGTTGTTGCTGTTTAGTCGTTTAGTCGTGTCTGACTCTTCGTGACCCCATGGACCAGAGCACGCCAGGCACTCCTATCTTTCACTGCCTCCCACAGTTTGGTCAAAATTTGGTTTGGTTAATTTTAATAAGTGTTTATCTTTTGTAAACTCATTGTACACAGTTTAGAAACCATGCTGCTAAGCGGTATATAAATTGTTGAAATAAAGAAAATAGATGCAACAAAAGAAATAGTCTTAGTAAACCAAAAGGGTTCCTCTCCAGAATAAAAGGGTTGATCATGCAGCAGGGCCTCTTCACTGATCTATGTGTTTTTCAAGGCTCAGATTAATTCTACTGGATTCAGCTTTTACCCAGACCCCATGGAAAACCAAAGTGTGCACAGAGTGTTTTACCTGCAAGGGGATGGAGAGGCTGATCCAGGAGTGGTGCGCCCCACTCTAGCTAAAAAATCCAAATCTGTTCACAGACCTAAAAAGGGTTATGAGCCCTCGAGTAGGCAGTACCAGCCGGTGGTCTAATTCTGTATAAGACAACTTCAGATATTAATTTCCATAATGGTGGGGTGCTGCATTCATATGAATCATAAATAACTATCTCCCTGCTTCTTTCACCTTGCTTTATCTACTTTTAATGATGATTAATGCACATGCATAAAGAGCGTGCAAGGAAAAAGAAGACTACAGAAAGTTTTAGCTAAACAAAGGAGGGAATGTACAAGGTCCCTGACTATGTTTCAGTCAGTCATATCTTGATCTTTTATATTCTGTTTTTTAATTCAGATGTTGGATGAAAACCATCATCTAATACAGTGTATTATGGACTATCAAAGCAAGGGCAAAACAGCAGAATGTACTCAGTGAGTATGATTTTGTTGTTGTTGTGTTGAAATATATGTGTTAATTGTTTTATTCATTTAAAAACCTTTCTAAACTGCTTTATGTTTTAAAACAGCTAAGCAGTATACAGAAACACCACATAAAAATAGACCAGTGTCATAAAAACAGAAAAGCAACGTAAAAACAGGAATCTAGTTATAATAGGGTCTAAACTTATGGGCCAAGGAAAGCCTGGGCAAAAAGATATATCTTTAAAACATGTATGAAGGAACTGATGGATTGTGCTTCATGTATAGCACAGGGAAGGGCATCCCATAGTGCAAGGGCAGTAGTGGAAAATGTCTGCTTTGGGGTTTGACCTGTGATATTCTGTAGGGTGCAATGTCACCAACAGGATTTCCCCAGATCTAAGTGACATTGCAGGTTTGAGCAGGGGCCAGGTGGTATTTCAGGTAACCAGGTCTCAAGTAGTTCAAAAATTTATGCTAATAACAAGATCTTGAACATGGCCTGGGGCAGGATGACATTGCATGCGTAAACAGGTGAATGTTAACTCTTGACTCCTGTTGCTACACAAAACCTGTGTTTTGCTGAGCTTGCAAAGGTGAGTTAGATCAGATGCACATAGCCACTCCAGAGAAGAAAAGGTGTTTTTCTAACCAGCTTTACTTCCTTAAGATAATGTCATGTTCCTTTGCTTACAGATATCAACAAATTTTGCACAGAAACTTGGTCTACTTGGCAACAATAGCAGACTCGAACCAGAATATGCAGTCCTTGCTTCCTGCTGTAAGTACTGACTGATGAGATTGAATGAAATCCAGTACTTGCAGCTAAAGATATGCTTTTTGTGGGGAAATAAACAATGCTGCCAACATGAGCACAAACCCAATGTGGGCATGCCTGGAGCTGATTTCCCACTGCACATATTCTAGGGTCAATACCATGGTTATAGAAAGTGCATTTCCTTATTGCTAGCCTGCACATATCTGGGGACTGGTCTGCACATGAAGTGGTAGAGTCTTGGGGTGGAAGAGCTGGAGTGGACTTTGCCATGCTGGACTGTAGGTGGGGAATTGCATTTAAGAATTTCCTCTGAATTGTTAAAATAACAACAAAAAGTACTCCTTGCAAGGAAGGGGACTGAAAAAAATCTTTATCCCTGAAAAGCTAAGTAATATAGGTTGTTTAATTAGCAAATAGTTGTTGTTTTTTGCATGTAGAAATGATACAAATGCCACCACCCCTCCAAGGCAGTCTGAAGCCGTATTTGCCAGAATTCACCTAGCCCAGTCTGCTGTAGAGAAGGGCATTCAGTATGTGACTTCTAAACAGGCCTGAACTCCAGTACCTTGTTACAAAATTGGACACTACCTTACCTGGAGAGGGTGGCTTTTCGTCTTTTCAAGAGTTGTGGGGAAGTGATGTTGCAGAGATGCAGCAAGCCTTATTCTGATATTGCAATTGTATACTACAGAGGTAGGGAACCTCAGGCCCTCCAGCTGACAGGTGGGGGGGCTGAATGTATGTTGAAATGAGCCTACTGTAGAAAGGTCAAATTTACATTTGTTTCTCCACCCACTTTTGCCTCCAGTCCTGACAATCACTAGCATGTGGCCCCTAGAAGGCTGCTCAGAAGAAAATGCGGACCTCAGGATGAAAAAATTCCCCATCCCTAGTCTAGTTATTTCTTCTTCTTTCTTGCCTGCTCTATACTGGTTGGGAGAGAAGGGTGGGTAAGAAGCTTGACCCCTGTGGCAATGGAGTAGGAAAACTCCTCCAGCAAAATATCTCCCTGCCCTGGAGAAGGCTCTTAAAAAGGGGATACCATCTCCCAGGTGGAAGTTGGCAATACTGAGCTAGATGATGAATGGGTGATAAGACTTCATTCCTAGTTGAAGTCTAGGAATGAGTGTATGTGCTGTATCTAGGTGGGGTGTATGTGCTGATATGTACATGTTTCATTTCAGGATGCAGACATGCAATTGGGAGAGTTGCCTTATTTTGCTATCTAGTAAAGTTCTTGGCCTCTGCTGCTGCTCCTTCCCCTTAATATTTTTATTTTATATTTAGACTGCCATTTATCCCAAAAGATCCCATGGCAGCATGTACAAAAGCCTATATAATACAGCTATTTTGAAATAATGAATTTTTTTGAACAAAGAATTCCAAAAGTCTAGATACAGCACAATGGTGTACAACTGTAGTTTGTGGGTCTCCTTATGTCCTAAAAGACCAAAGGAAAAGAGGTGTCTTTAACTGACACTGAATAACATTGGATATGTACATGCATGTTATGAAACTGGGCCAGGTCAAGGTTGAGTTTAGAGATATAAAAATGTTGACTATGTCCCTTCAATGACCCAGCACAAATTCTCTATTGACTTCAAAGGAAGTTTTACCTGCACAGGAAAGCCAGACACAGAATTTATTTAGCTAATATATATCGTTTGCATTTGTGAAGTTAAAATTGGAATATTTCAAAATGTTCAAAATGCTAAGCTACATTTTATGTTGTTTTGGAAGTGCTCATCTAGGAGTTAAATGTGACAGGCTCGGGCTTTGTGTGTTCGCTCTTTTCTAATTAACTGTCTGGTAATTAAAATGGATTACAAAATAGCAGAGCTGCCATTATCTAACATATTTTCATGTATCTCCATACTCCAGTGTTAACCTCCAAACCTGATGTTAATCTTTTGTAAATATCAGTGCTTTTTATCCAAAAGTTGTATAATTCCCTACACAAAACAAAAAACTGTTTCATCATGGTCTGCTTAGATGAAGGTGATCGTATATGTCATTATCATTGCTGTTGATTTTTTCATTACTGAAAAGTCTTATTCCTGCGTTGATTCATTATTAATAATGTCTAATAATAATAAATAATGGCAGGAATTCTGTCAGATCCCCACCCCTCATAGCTTATTCCTACAACAAATCCCTCTTGCTGAATCTTTTTTTTCCCCTTCTCCTTCTTGCCATCTGCAGCCACCGACGCAAAACATGAACCTCGGTCCGGGAGGAATGAATCAGAGCGCATCCAACCAGTCTCTTCATGCACAGAGCAACCTCAGTGATGCAATCGGGACAGGCCTTCCGCCTCCCTCCCTCATGCAGAGTCAGATCAGCAATGGTGAGCTTTCCATGGTTGCCTGGCAACTGCATCGCAAATGCCGAACGTGCTTCTAAAGGAGCCTTTTATGGCTGTTTAACTAGCCTCTCGGGCATGTGGAAAACCTCGGCACGGGCTTAAATATGCACACAAATCAGTTACAATTCTTCATACAGTTGCCACTAGCATTCTGCAACAATGGATTTCCTATAGGAGGAATTGATCCATGAACACTGAGGTGGGTGCTGTTCAAGTTCTTGAGCGTATGTTGGCTTCAGCGGCTTTTGTGGGTAGCATAAAAAGCACTGGTTGCCAGCATCAAATTCTCGCTCTGTCACCAGTGATCTAATTTCAAGCATTTTGAAGGGTGAAGGGAGCCCAAGAGGGAGCATGTAAATGTGGCACAGAAGAAAAGGTCTTTCACTTTTCTTCACTCAAAAGGCCAAATTGTTTTAAGGTCTCATGCAGCCTGTTCCTGTGCAATTTACTTAGAAGTAAGTCCCACTGTACTGATGTACCCTTTCCCCAAAGTAAGCATACCTAGAATTCCTTCTGTACTATATATTTGTGGCAAATTAGGTTCCTCGCTGGATGTCATTCCCAAACTCCAAACCATTTCCAAATCTGACATGGGGCAGGGGGGGGGGGATTCCAATCCTTCGAAGTCCATATTTTGAATCTAAAAAGAACTGGGAGAGGTAAGATATAAAGTAGCGTAACATGAGCATAGTTTTTGAGCTTCCTGGCTGCACAGTTTCTGTGGCAGAGATGTGGAAAGCTTAGATACTGGCAACTCGAGAGTGAAGGAAGGCAAAATCTGAACAGGATTCAAAATCAATATTCATTGCCACCCCTTGTTTCCTTCTTTGCTTTCTGCTAGGTCCCAATCACGTGTCTATGCAACAGTCAGGCCAGAATACCATGCCCACGACTTCCCTGAGCATGACTGTCAGTAGCCACGGAACCGGAACCGGCTATAGCCATACAGTGCCTGCGTCTCAGAATGTACCAATGCAAGGCCAGGGATCAATAGGCAACTACGTCTCACGAACAAATATCAACATGCAGTCCAATCCTGGTATGGTTGGCTTGGTTTGGCCTGGCCTTTTTTGTTGTTGGATAGATATGCCATTTTAAAGTGTCATTGGGCTCTTGGCTTCTGTGACCACTTATAACAGGGTCAGACCTGGGGAGGTGGGCAGTGGCAGGAATCAGGTTCAGAGCAGGGCTACTGAAGAGCTCCAAATATGTCTGAAGCTTCCTTCAGAGAAGGGAGTGGAACGGACTCCCTTGGGAGGTTGTGGGCTCTCCTTCATTGAAGGTTTTTAAGCAGAGGTTGAATTGCCATCTGCCATAGATGCTTCAGTTGAGATTCCTGCATTGCAGGGGGTTGGACTAGATGACCCTTGGGATCTCCCAGCCAACCCTATGATTCCTTACATTTTAGCATCAATGATGTACTTTAAAAAGAGAGAGTATAGGTGCCTGCACCAGGTGGTTTATATTCTAAAAATAGATGAAGGGGCGGGAAATTGAGATGGAGGTAAACATATGCTGTTATTTCACATATACTTAAGTACAGTTGCAATATATATTTCTTAAACTGAAGTTTATTCTACTCAGGGCTACAGTGGTAGTAGTGGAGCACTGTGTAGAGAATTTGAGAATGTAAAATGTGTGTGTGTGTGTGTGTGTTGCAGTGTCCATGATGCACCAGCAAGCGGCAACGTCACATTACAACTCTGCGCAAGCAGGGAGCCAACACTACCAAGGGCAGTCTTCCATTGCCATGATGAGTCAGAGTAACCAAGGCAACAGCATGATGGGCCAACGGCCAATGGGCCCTTACCGACCTTCACAGCAAGGTAAATAAGAACCAAGGACTCAGAACTGTATAGCTCCACAGTGTTGCGTGTGTTCCAAGGGCATGACCGTATGAGATGGAAGATCCATGGTTGGATGTGAGCTGGGTCTTTTTAAACAGCAAATTCAACTGCTGAGAGGCCTACCTCAGGTGTGGAAAGTAGCACTGGGGAATCAGGGTTAACGCGTCTTCCCTCATCACTGCAGTTTTGTAGTTGCAGGGCAAAGAGCAGCTGGGGAGGGTGTGATCCCAAAAATGGCACAGGATGAATGAACCAAAACAAACTTCCAGTGCTATGGTCCCATAGCACATAGAACTCAGTTTCTCACACTGAAGTTCACAGCAGATGCAAGACTTGAAGCCCACAGTGCTAGGCCAGAACCTCCTCTGTATAGAACAGACTTACAAGTCAGGCAGATAGGGTATCACTCCCTTTAAAGAGGTTGTTTCAGTTATCCACCTTTGATCTCACTGTAGACTGACAACGGTACTCTCACTCTGCTTTGTAGGTTCCTCTCAGCAGTACATGGGCCAGGAGGAATACTACAGTGAACAATACAGTCATGGACAAGGTTCATCAGAGCCCATGAACCAGCAATATTATCCCGATGGTAATTTTGCTGAGTATTGGGGAACATGGTTCCATAATGCCGTTGACCTGCAGAAGGCTTCTGGCACCCAGGAATGGAATTGAAAGACGGAGGCCAATCCACACAAATGCTCCCAAGCCTTTACCTGAAAATAAGACCTTACGATATTTATTGGAGCTTTATTTTCAAGCAAGTAGGCCTGAGATCACTGTGCCAGGGGTGGGTTGGGTGGGTGGGTGGTGGTAGGCAAACTAGTTTGTAGGTGGCATAGTTGAACCAAGGGAAAAGAGGTAAGTTTGGACAGGGTTATATCAGCAAAGAACCCAGACCACAAAAGGCAGAAAGAAAATATGCAGGATGGATCAGGATTCAGTGCCAATAAGGACCACCATTCACATGGTGAAATGGCAACTAAAATGATCAAGGGGATGGAGAAACTCCCCTATGAGGCAAATAACAACACTTAGGACTTTTTAATTTAGAGAAACGAGGCAACGATAGAAGTGTATAAAATTATGCATTGCATGGAGAAAGTGACTAGAGCAAATTGGCCCCCCACCCCCTTAACACTAGAACTTGTGGACATCCAGTGAAGCTGAATGTTGGGAGGATTCAGGAGGCAAAAACAAATACGTATTCCCACAGCACATAGTTAAACTGTGAAATTTGCTTCCATAAGAGGCAGTAATAGCCACCAACTTGGATGGCTTTTAAAAAAGGATTAGACGAATTCAAGAAGGGTAAGGCTATAAATGGCTACTAGCTCTACCTCTATTGTCAGAAACAGTAATGTTTCTGAATACCAGTGGCTGTTGCACTCTGGTCCCGGTTGCAGGCTTCTGATGTGCATCTGGTTGACCACTGTGAGAACAGGATGCTGAACTAGATGGGCCAGGTGAACCAGCAGTGTCAGCAAGTAGGAGGGTTAAGGCGCACCAGGATTGCCAGCATGGTGTAGTGGTTAAGAGCTGTAGACTCGTAATCTGGTGAACCGGGTTCACTTCCCCACTCCTCCACATGCAGCTGCTGGGTGACCTTGGGCCAGTCACACTTCTCTGAAGTCTCTCAGCCCCACTCACCTCACAGAGTGTTTGTTGTGGGGGAGGAAGGGAAAGGAGAATGTTAGCCGCTTTGAGACTCCTTTGGGTAGTGATAAAGCGGGATATCAAATCCAAACTCTTCTTCTTGGCAGTGGGCTCTCTGAACGGAACTAGGCAGCAAGAGGGGTCAAACAGCTGCAAAATGTATCCAAAGAAAAACCTAGGAAGGCAGTTGGAGAGAAAACCCTATGTCCTTTGTCTTTGAAGCGTTTCAAGGGAAACTTTCTCATGGGATGTAAACCTTACAGCTCCAAAATTTAGAAAAATAAAAACAGAGTTTGAACCTTTGCACGTCTCTTTTTAGAGATTTAAGTGATCTCTTTTTAGAGATTTAAGTTTAATCTCTTTTAAAGAGATTTAATCCCCATGTTTTTTGTTTAATCCAGGTGTGAGCTACACTTCAGTCATATTTACACTGCAGGTGTTAACTACCCATCCTCCTAATGGGACTTGTAGTTCTGCAAAGGGAGTAGTTCTGTCAACAGAATTCTGTGCACTACATCACACATTTGGCAGGAGCCATAACTCAGCTGATAGTAATACAAGTTTGAAATTGTCATGCATCTGAAAAATGCACAATCAATTTTAAAAATATCCATTTCTTATGTACCTTTCTTTTTGTCATAGGTCACGGTGATTATGCGTACCAGCAGTCATCTTATTCTGAACAAAGCTATGACAGATCATTTGAAGATTCTACACAGCACTACTATGAAGGAGGTAAGAAGACGTTATGGAAGCAGTTCTTGTAGAACGCATCAGATGTTGGGTATATGTGTGTACACACACACAAACAAACAAACAAACAGTGTTTTACTGCTGCTAGCAATACAAAGATATAGCTGTTCTGTCTTCCTCTAAGAAGATGCCAGCCGCCATCTAGGTAATAGGTATAGTAGGGATAGGGAACCTGTGGCCCTCCACATTCCTGAACTACATCTCCCGTTCTTCTTGATCACTGGCCAGGGCTGATGGGAGTTGTAGTCAAATAACATTTGGTGTGCTATAGGTTCCCAATCCCTGGGCTGAAGGTAAGTGCCTCCCAGGAAACTGCCAGCTGCAACTGACTTCTAATGTTGGGGACAACAAAGGCCCAGCTGCAAGGTTCTTTGGTCCATTAAGCAGGGCAATGAATTGGCCCTCTTCTCTTATAGTACACCCCATGTCCCAGAGAGGGGCTTCAGACTTAAGGGGAGAGTGTTGCAGTGCTTATGTTAGTATAAGCAACAAAATGCCCACTACCCCCAGCTTGCACTGAATAAAGGAACTTCCATTATACCAATGCTTCATCTAGCTTATTAGTAACCATACTGACTAGCAGTGTTTCAGACAGAGGTCTTTCTCAGTCCTTCCTGGAGATATCAGTCATTGAACCCGGGACCTTTAGCATGCAAAACATGTCGTGTCTATTTGCATGCTCTGAAGCAGCCTTAAGGTTAGATGGATGGGACTGAACAGTCAATCAGCTGTTGAGTCCAGCCACATACCTCCAGTCTTTAAGCATTAAGTGCCAAAACTACACCTATGTATACTCGTCTGCTTCTGGAGGGAAGGAAACCTTGCACAGTATTGTCTACAACCCCTTGTTTCATGGCAAACTAGAACTTTTTTTAAGTACAAGTCTTGAAATATCTGAATTTCTATTTTTTAAAGTTTCCACACAGGCTACGTATATGCATGCTCAGTGGTGCAGGTGACTGAAAAGTTCCCTCTGATCCTAGAAATCTGTATTGTGTGAGCCCTGCAAAAACAGGCACTTCTCTGTGCCATATGCAACCCTGTGAGTGTAGCCATATGAAGGAACTGACGCATGAGCTGGAGTAATTGCATTGACAGGCACCATTTCTTATTGAGAACTGGTGTGAATACAGTGGCACATTACTCACCCTTTCACACAGATTAGTGCTTGGAAGTGATGCCTGTCTTTTATGGATAAGCTTCTCTCAAACTGGCTGCATCCATGGAAGATTTAGAGTATGCCATTGAACCCTATGTGGATGTAGAGTGCTGGTTAGCTTGCAAATCAACCCTATTGATATTCTGTCTTTAGGGAATTCCCAGTATAGCCAGCAGCAGGCGGGATACCAACAGGGAACTGTACAACAGCAAACGTATTCACAGCAGCAATACCCAAATCAACAGAGCTATCCAGGACAGCAGCAAGGATATGGTGAGAAAATGTGTATTGCCTTGCTTTGCTCTACTTTGTAGCTTGATTCTGCACAACTGTGTACCCATTCTCCCTTTCTTTCTTTCTTTCTCCCTCTCTCTCTTTTTAAAATTTATCCTTTTTGAATTTTACAACAAAACATGCAAATTCTTTAACAAAACCAATAATTCACATCAAATCAACCTCCCCTCCCCCTCTATCTGTGGATCCTTCCATTTTGTCTTTACTGCTGCATATCCAAAATAATTCCTTAATTATTAATTTTTCTCTAAGAATTTCCTTTATTTAGCTTTACTGTTCATTTTATGTCAACTCTGCTAGCATTTTAATTCGTTTACAATTATTTTTCAAATATTCAACAAACTTTCCCCAGTCTTTATTAAAAGTCCTTTCTTCCTGGTTTCTTATTCTTCTTCTTCTTCATCATCATCATCATCATCATCATCATTTATTATTTATACCCCACCCATCTGGCTGGGTTTTCCCAGCCACTTTGGGCGGCTTCCAACAAAATACTGAAATACAATAGTCCTTCAGATATTAGTCCTCCCTTATTCCAAGAGTTCAGGGCAGCATTTGTAGTCCCAACCCCTTCCATCCTCACAACAATCCTGCAAGGCAGGTTGGGCTGAGAGAGAGAGAGAGAGGTTGTGGGGAGAGTCTGGCTTTGTAGCTGAATGGGATTTTAACACTTGTCTCTCCAGTATAAATCCAATTCTCTAACCACCATACCACACAGGTTTTCTTTATAGTAGCCTGTTGATTCAAAAAGAACCACAGAAGGGTCCCATGCTCACTTACCTAAGGGTAAGATTTGTTGATATAGTGGGACTTACTTCTGAGTCAACATGCAAAGGAGTGGACAGTAATGCAAATAAGACCTGTGTCTGCAACTGTCTTTTGAGCCTAATTGTAAGTTCAGGGATATCATCCTTGCTGTCAAGTTTTTATTAGTCATTACCATGAGAAAAGCACCAAAACTAAATGCAAAAGTAAGTACTGCCTTGGAACCTTTGAAATCCAACAAAATGTACATACAGTTCTCCTCCTGTCAGTCTATTATCACTATAAAAGCAGGTTTCATACATAAAAGAATCAGCCTGGGGGTGAAAATCAGCTTCACAAGCCCTCCTTGAAGGCCTGCAGTCTGGATAAATAAGATTGCTTGGTCGTAGAGGCAGAGTTGCTGCTGCTGCTACTACTACTATTATTATTATTATTATGGCCTCAGCTTTGTTAACTTTTAAATGGCCAGTGAAAACTTTCCTATGTCAGTCAACTTTCAGTTAAAGAGCCGTGCTGGTTGTTGTTATATGTTGTGCTTGTTTTTATTTTTAATTGTTGCTGCCTTGTTTCTGAAATTATAGTTAGATTACCTTTATGAAATTATTGGTTAAATTATTGTAGCTGCTCTGTCAATTTAAAAAGTGGGATATAAACAAATATGCAAACAAATAGGTAAACAAACTCAGAAGGAGAAATTTAAGTATGTAGTCTACTATGCATGTATCAAAATTATGTTTATATTCTTCTGCTGCCAGGCTTTTAAGGACATGATGCAACCTACTCTTGAACTCTTGACAAGAATTTTGCTGTTATATTCCCAGGTCCAGCCCAAGGAGCCTCATCACAGTACTCCAGTTACCAACAGGGTCAGGGGCAACAGTATGGAAGCTACAGAGCTTCACAGACAGGACCATCTGCACAGCAACAGAGGCCTTACGGCTATGAGCAGGTAAATCTTCCCATTTAGATTACTGTAATGCACTCTATATATGGCTACCCTTGAAAGCAGGCTGGAAGCTGCAGCTAGTCAAACTGTGGTGGTGGGTCAGGTTGTTAAACAGGTCATCCTACTAGAATCACATTACTTTGATCACATGGGACTTGCGCTGCCTTCCAACATGCTACTGGTCCCAATTCAAGGTGCTATTGTTACATAGTAACACAGGAAGGTGCCTTATGTAGTAAGACCATTGGCCCATGTTGGTCAGCACTGCCGGCACTGAATGCCTGCGGCTCTCCAGGGTTTCAGACAGGAGCTTCTCCCAGCTCTATCTGGAGATGCTGGAGATTGAACCTGGACCTTACAAAGCAGATGCTGTTCCAATGAGCTTAGCATAAATAAGTAAGCATGCTAGTACACAAGGAGAAAATTGTGATTGCTTTGTTCCTCCCTAGCTCCTGGTGCTGCCACACAACTGAGTATGTCTGAACCTGTGCTCATGGTTTGTCTCCCCTAAACAAATCATGAGCCATAAGCCAAGAAAAAAATGTAGTTTGTTTGGAGGACAAACCATGTGGCCTGGTGTGGACGTAACTTTAAGCTTAGCTCCAGATAGCATGACAGCAGCAAAAGCTGAGGAGGAGCAAAGTGCCCAATTTTTCCTGAGTATTTGCACTCACTCATGGTGAGCCATAGTTTGGTTTAGTGTTGCATGTGAACCAGGCCTATGTGTCTGTAGAAATGACTGTGTTAATTTCTCTCTCTCTCTCTTATTTTTAACAGAGCCAGTATGGAAACTATCAGCAATAAAAGGACAAGCACCTGTGTCAGATTTGTTTCAATATTTATGTCCGTCTTTTGAACTTGGATGTACGGGCAGTTTTTGATTAATCGTAATATGTTGGTTAACCCCCTTAGCACAAAGGAGCATTTGTCTGTGAAATAGTATTCATTTCATGCTGGATATGAAGCAGTGCACTACTGGTAACAAGGCAATGCTTTAATGGTTTGGTATGTTTTGGTGCTGTGTATAATACTGTATGTTGATACAATGCAAAGGTTCTTCCTTCTCCTGCCCCCACCCTCACTTGATGTCTAGCTTTAGAGGTTACTTGAACATCAGTATCCACATCACACCCAGCTATTTTTCTTCTTCGTCATCTATAAGGCTACAATATTCTGTAATACATCAAATACGTATAATTAAGTTTTTCGTGCTCTGCTCATGTAACTGCTCTTAGCATTGTTTTCAAGGTGAAACAGCCTGGATGTGCTGCAGATTATTTTGTATCTACTATCCTCTGAAATCAATAGATCCTAATTTGATGGTATTGGGATAGGCGCATTTTCTTGGTTTTTATTCTGAACTGCAAATACTGAAATGTATGGGCATGAGTTTGATTTGCTAGATACTTTCAAAGTGAAACAACAAATTAGTACAGCAGTAAGTAGGGCCTATTTAAATCACCTTTCCACCAACTATTTATGATTGGGATTTATTGCTGACTTGGGAACTGGCCCTGTTATGGGAAGATGCCCTTATATCCCATAGCAGGTCAATACCAAAGAAGCATTAAACTGCTGAAATGTGGGCAGTAGTTCCACTGAATTTATACTAAGCCACCAGAGAAGACTACTCTATTTCAGCTATCCTGGATATATGATCATGGGTTCAGTTAGTGTGTGGCCGAGGAATCTGGAAAAGGAAAAGATTGATTCCTTCTGTACCTATTGTATAATGTTCTTGGGGAATTCATATACTAGGACACATTTTTATGCATCCTGGTCCAGGTGATGACATCAACATAAGGGACATTTGTGGTGTCCTGTAGCAAAAATAAGTCTGCAAGTTGCTTCATGAGACTTGCATCTCTTGTATACGTCTATCTGTTGCATTGCTTGGAAAATAGGTGCCTTATCAAGAAGGCAAAGCCATTACAGGCTCCCAGACAAATAATGAAGGGCAACAGAAGAGCTGTGCTTCCATTGCTATGGGGCTGCCTGATTCTGGGAAGAGATTTGCCTTTCTCTACTAAGTGTCCCCACAAGGAACCTTCCTTCTTCAGGCGGCAAGTATGTAAAGAAAATGAATTTCCCTCACATAACTAATTTACTGCAGGATATAGTGTGTACTCAGTGCCAAAATAGTTACCACTGTGGGGAAGACCCAGTATAGTTGCCTTTGGCATAAAATGGGATTCTCGTAAAAACAAAGTTCTATGATTCATTCAGTAACAATTCAGTGGGGTTTTACTTCCAATTGAGTGTGCTTAGGACGGCTACCATAAAGACTTACACCTGATTTAAATATCTGCAGTATGACCATTTATAATAAAATGTACTGCGGAACAAATTTAGCCAGTAGGATGATGAAATGCAGCCAAAGCGAAGCACTTTAAAATTCCATTGATTTCACTGGGAGGGCAGTGAGTGTGTGCTTGAAATCAGTGGGACCAAACTCAGTTTAACTCTAATTGGATCTGGATCCTCTATCTGCCAAAGCAAAAATTCACTAGTACCATTTTAATCTTGTTATCCAAGCTGTAGGTAAAACAAACTCCAAGATTCAGTCTGTCAAAAGTCAATATAGCTTCATATCCATACAAGTTGCTGAGAAGCATAAATGACCATCCAGACTTTACTACAAAATAACTGTAGCATGCACATTAGAGATAGTGCATGTTTCCCATGCAGCTGATTAGCTGCCAATTCATTTTCTGATCCTTCCACTTACTCAGCCTTCCACCAAGAAATATAGCCATAAACAAAATCAGGTTACAGACTTAAGGGCTGCATTCAACTAAATCATACTCTGAGTAGACCGATAGAAATCAACGGACAAGTTAAATGAAGTCTTTCTTCTGTAATAAGATCGTTGACCTATATATTACAATGGCAATATTTTTATGAGCGTATTTAGACTAATTGATATATTGCAATTTAATGTTTTGATTTTTGTATTTTTAACCTTATTATCTCCCTGGACATTTTTTTAACGAGGGGCAGAATATTCATTTGCTTCAATCAATCAATCAATCAATCAAAAAGATAGTCATGCCTAACTTAAGTCTATTTATTTCAGTGGGTCTACTCTAAGTACGATAGCTCTTCCTTGGTATTTTGGCTTCAGTAGCAGTTTGGAAACTCTGTTTCCAGTAATCAGATATATTCACGGACTGTTTATTATATTTAACTGACTGGATCCTGCATTGTTAGGAACTACAGAAAACATTGTAGCATTTAAAAGGCACTGTTGCTATAAAAATTATTGCTCACGGTGTGTCTTTTGGTCACACTGGGTTTCTTATGCTGATCACCTGCTGGGAATGAGAGAGCAGGTACACACCAGGCATTCAGTATCACATGGATCCCTACTTGGGGAGGGCAGAAAAGAGAGGGAAAGGAAGTCAGTAGGTCTTTGGTCCCCTCATCTTTGCAGGGCTCCTTCACAATTCTTGCCTGCCCTTTTTATCAGTTATAAAGCTCAGCCCTCAAAGCTCCTGTACAGCCTGACAGTGTCTAAGACAATACTGGGTAGTAGGTTAAGGGAGATCATCACTCCAGGAGGGACAAACTGCTCTGTAAAATCCTTATAACCCAGGGACAGCATCCTTGTAGCATTTAGAGGGCTACAAGTTCCACACCTCTCCTTCAGTTGCCTCAGCTAGTACTGCTCATTCCCATGATTTCTGCAGGGGTGCGTATCTGAGGGGCACCCATGCTTCCTACTTTCTGGCACAGCCTTTCCCTTCTGCATACAGAAAAGGGAGCCACACAGCCCTTTCCCTATGATACCTTGGGTCAGATGCCACTCAGCTCTGAATGCAAGTGCTGCCCAACATACAGTTTAAACATAAATAAACCAAACTTAAAGCTTCTAAAACATTTAAACTGTAAAAAATTGGCAAGATGTTCAGTTTGTTGTTCAAAACTACAGGATTTCTCAAAAAGTGGTGGGATTTTTTTTAGATAAATAATCTAAGATGAATTTGAGTACACAAGTTTACTCAATTTAAGAATATAGTATATTATATCACTTATTATATTATAAACATCTGGATGGTTTAAATTTTGTGTTGAGATACCAATTTTCAAAAACACGGACCTCCAGAAAATAGACACTGGACTCAAAAAATATCAATATTACTATTTATTTAAAAAATGATCCAATGATCTATGAGAATACTGTACAAATAGAAGGACAATTTATATATGTATGAGGGTCAGGGAAAGTGCTGCTAGAAAGTGCTGCTCAAGATCTACCCTTCTGCAAAATGTATTTAGGAATTTTTATTCCACTTAAAATAAATTAAGAGCATATAAAGGTATAAATGAAAACTATTTAATAATTTTAAAGGCAGCAATAGGGGGGGAAAACTCCAATATACCTAGCATTGCTAACAAGCAGTCAGTGAAAATACAAAGCCACACAGGCCCAAAGCAAACAAATCAACATTTGTATAGTTGTTCATCAAGAAGAATTTTTGTCTATACAGTGGTGCCCCGCAAGACGAATGCCTCGCAAGACGGAAAAACCGCTAGACGAAAGGGTTTTCCGTTTTGAAGTTGCTTCGCAGGACGAATTCCCCTATGGGCTTGCTTCGCAAGACGAAAATACCTTGCGAGTCTAGAGATTTTTTTCGCTTTTCCCCCCCTTTATCTAATCTGCTAAGCCTTTAATAGCCTTTAATAGCCTTTTAGCAGCTAATCCCCTAAGCCTTTAAGCCTTTAATAGCCGCTAAACAGCTGATAGCGCTAATAGCGCTAATCCGTCAATGGGCTTGCTTCACAAGACGAAAAAACCGCTAGACGAAGACTCTTGCGGAACGGATTAATTTCGTCTTGCGAGGCACCACTGTATTGTCATTTCTGTCTTCCTTTTTCTGAACCCTTCATAGCACTAAGCACAGCGATGGCTCTATTTACAACTCTGCCAGTGCCATGTAGCACTTTTGGGTGATGGCCAATAACTCTCTGCCTAGCCTGCTTGGTCATGCCTGCAGGAGGAACCCTCACAACCCATGTAACTGCACAACAATGGGTGCTTATGTTCAGAGGGAGCAATCAAAAGAGGCCTTTGCAAGAAGCCATGAGCCCCTGGTGCAGTGTACCCTGGCCAACAGCCACTGCAAAATTTCCAGCAGTTGTTGCATGGCAACTACACTGCAGGGTCTCCTATGTTCCTGGCATTTGTCACGACTTGGCTGTTTGTGCTGATGCAGGAGAGGCTCACACCGGTGCAGTGGGAAACACTAATGGATTGCCTGCCTAGAACATTGAGGTGTTAGAATAAACAATGGTCACCTTCACATTAGAGTTTACTGATAGCCAGAAAAAAATGCATTGCTCCTTACCAGCTTTGACATCTGCTTCTCGTATGGTTTTTAGCATTGCTGAAAATCATTTTTTAAAGACCACAAGCATTTTAACAAGTAAAACAGCAACATCGCATCAGTTGGAAATGTCTTACATTAAGAATTTCTTGAATGTTGTGTATATACTGTATTTGAAAGAGCGCTTTGGAAATAGTTTGTACATTATTTCCTAATTTATACATGATTTTTAGTGTTAATATTTCTAACTGTTAATAACAAAATATTTAATGTGTTGTCCATTTTTATGTATTGATGTGGAAACAAAACGGTGATGCCAGCATTTTGACTTTTTTCATTAATTGTATCATATTTTCTGTTTTGTAATACAGAATGTTTGGACATGTTTTAGGTTAAAATGAATTGATTGTGAAGCCAAGTAATGGTACTTTTTCGTATGATGAAAAGACTTTTAAAAGGACTGCTGTAATCATGTTTGAAGTCTGTTCTTTTTTTAATTGCAGGTTTAATGAAAACAATACATTAATCACACTTCATTTATATTCTGAAATATTTCAAGTAAAGATCATTGCATGAGAAAAAGTGTTAATGTCAGTTTTCAAAATGTCAAATCTCATTTGATTTTCAAGATCAGGTTTTCTAGTTTCCTATTTAGCCAATGATCTCACTAGAAGGCATGACACAGTAACATAGAACTGCTATATTCATAGAATTAAAAGAATTCCGCATGAATTCCAATGGTTCATTGGCAATCCACTACCATGGGGGTAATTTACCAATAAGCCACTGGAATCCAATTTAATAAATTTGAATTTAAGATTAATTAATTTGTTTATACCCTGCCTTTCAGAATAAAATATTTCCAAATAATTTCTAGTAGCAATAAAAACAGTAGTAAAGAACAGGCAAAGCAGAAAATACACCAGCAAAAAATGTTTTTAAAACAGTATATAGCAGTGAGCGTAGAAAGAAGAATACTTACCCCTCATAGAAAGCCTGATGGAACAAAAAGGTATCCACAGCAGTGTCTAAAAACAGTAAGAGAAAATTTGTTGGATTTCTCTAGGGAGTGTTCCACAACTATGGAGCCAATGAAAAAGCCCTATCACTGGTACCATCATTCTGACCTTAACTAATGATGAGCTGGAGAGCAATGCCTTCATAATGGTATAATCCAGGTTAGAGAACCTCAGGCCTGGGAGTTGACTGTTGCCCTTGAGACTCTTTCCAGGCCATTCTCTCACAAGCCCTTTCTCAAGCCCTCTACAAAGCCTTTGCATGGCAACAATGTGTCATTGAATTGTGACAATGTCTTTTGCATTCCAAAAGGCAGAAATGTAGGTGGGTGTCAGAAGTCTGACAAAAGTCATAAAACTTTTTACCTTTGCATGGGTTGAATGTACAGTGGTAGCTTGGGTTACAGATGTTTCAGGTTACAGATGCTTCAGGTTACAGACTCCGCTAACTCAGAAATAGTACCTCGAGTTAAGAACTTTGGTTCAAGATGAAAACAGAAGTTGCGCAGCGGTGGCACGGCAGCAGCGGGAGGCCTCAAGTTAAGAACAGTTTCAGGTTAAGAACGGACCTCCAGAATGAATTAAGTTCTTAACCCAAGGTACCACTGCAGTTTATTGTATCTGAACCAGTGTGTGAGTGACTGAGGCTAGATATACCTCTTCCAGACTGGGCTGTAACTGGCAAAGCAGTTGGACTCAAAACTGATGAAAAGCAGTTTTGATCACTGACACATGTGCAGGTTGAATACATTCAAACTGGGAAAACTGCAAACCAACAGCACCTTTGCCATGTTCAGAATTCAGTGTACATATCTTCTCTCAGATTAGACACTGGAAATTAGTAGAACCAAGTGCAGGTACCCCCATATTTATAGAATCATAGAACTGTAGAGCTGGAAGGGATCCCAAGGGTCATCTAGTCCAACCCCCTGCAATACAGGAATCTTATGTATGATCTATTTACACATGACCATGTATATACATGGCGCTGAGAAATAAATAGAAACCAGGAAATAAATAACCAGCTGAAGAGTCCTCATGGCTCAAGAGGAGACCCTCCCCAGAGCCTGAAGAGGACGCCCCTAAGGGCAGACGAAGCCCCAAAGAGAGTAGAGGCACAGCAGGACTTTGTTTAGGCTGCTCATTCTACCTGCCTAACATGCTTTTTAGTGGGTAAAAGGTAAAGGGACCCCTGACCATTAGGTCCAGTCGTGGCTGACTCTGGGGTGCTCATCTCGCTTTATTGGCCGAGGGAGCCGGCGTACAGCTTCTGGGTCATGTGGCCAGCATGACTAAATCGCTTCTGGTGAACCAGAGCAGCACATGGAAACGCCGTTTACCTTCCTGCTGGAGCGGTACCTATTTATCTACTTGCACTTTGACGTGCTTTCGAACTGCTAGGTTGGCAGGAGCAGGGACCGAGCAACGGGAGCTCACCCCGTCACGGGGATTCGAACTGCCAACCTTCTGATCAGCAAGTCCTAGGGTACTCCCCACTTTATGTGATTTCACTTATGCACATGCAGGCCCTTGTGTGAGTGAGCAGATGCCTGTATTAACAGAATATCAAGGGCTCCCCCGGTTGTGCTTAAACCTGCTGATTGTGTGAATGGTGCCATTTTAGCCACGTATGTCATATGGTGCCATTTTAGCTACATATATGTCACATAACTCACCCAAGTTCATTGCTGGTATATTTATACGACACTTACGGTAACAAGTCAAAGTGCGTCTGCCAAAGGGGCTGTTCCCCCACTCTGGAATTCTATCCCCGGAGAAGCCAGACTGGCTCCCTCCTTGGGTCCTTCTGCCGTTGGCATGTGAACTGGCTGCTGCTGCTGCTTTGAATGAAAGGTCCTTGGGAACTATGGCTGCTTTGAAATGGAAAGGGCTGGTGCTGTGCCGTTTTGGTTGTATTTCATAGAAGCATGGAGTTCACGGTGTAAGTCACCCTAAGTTCCATGAGGGAAAAAGGCGGGATATAAATAAATATATAATGTGTAAATGTGTAAAAAACCACACCAAAAATTAGTTATCAATTATATGCTCAGTTATGTTTAATGGCCCTATGAAGTTCCGCCTGCATAACTGTAGGTCGTCGAAGCGACGGAGGAGCCTTTTCAGGAGAAAATACTGACAGGCCCAAACGTGGAACTACCTCAGGAGCTGCTCCTGTCCCTCGCCGCCCAACGGCCAATTCAACTCCGGCTTCTCCCGCCTCTATCGTCACATAAACCAATCACAACCCTCCCGCGAAGCCTTCCCACCAATCCCGTTCGATAACGTCTGCGGTGAGTAAAAGGAGGGGGAGGGGGAGTGAAGCCGCGCTACGCAAAGTTTGAACCGCCAGCCCCGGCAGGTGCGCAGGCGCACATGCAACCCTGCGGCCGCCGCTTCCAGCGCCTAGCAGGCACTAGAACTGCGTCTGCGCGACTGGTGCTTGGCGCGAGGCAGCGAAAGGGGTGGCTGACGTCTTTGCTGCCCCGACCCGCCCTCGCCACTGCTTTCTCTTTCCGCGCCCGCGGCGCGCGGCTGTGACGTCAGGCGTGTGATGCTGAACCCGCGGATGGGCAAAGCCTGTCAGAAAATGGCGGAGCTAGGATAAATCTTGGGGTGGGTGAGACTTTTTTTTTTATTTACGCGTATGTCGTTTCTTCTTTTACAAACAAACCTTACCAAAAAAAAAAAACAAAAAAAACCTGGGTGCCTGAAAACGAGAAAAAACCACGATAACATCATTGTGTGTGAGAGGGATATATATCTCATATATATATATATATATATATATATATATATATGAATGAATATATATAGAGGGTGGAGAAGTGGGGAGCGAGATGCGCTGCGTGTGTCAATGAGAAAGGTGGTTGAGCTGAGGGGGGCCGGCCTTCTGTGAAAAACAAGAAAAAAATCCATGGGCAGCTAGATATTTGCCTCAGAAAATGTGCTGGGCAGGCTGGGGGAGCTGCTGCTGCTGCAGTATGTATTTATTTTAAATTAAATTTATTTATTTCTTTAATGTTAAGAAAAGAAAAGAAACCAATACCCCAGAGTGGTTACAAAAAGATTAAACAAACAAACATAAGATCGAGAAAGATTCACAATGCTCTTTTAAAGACACGCAGAAGTTAAAAATGCCAAATCAGGTGATAATGACCTCAGCTCTCTTTAAGCATCCAGGTTGGCTTGTCTAAACAGAAGAACGCACCGAAAAAGAGTGCAGTTGTTGATTTGATTCCGATAGTGCAGGGTGTCCCAAAGTGCAGGTGCTCCCACACAGAATGATCCTGAGCTTTTAACGCAGATGTGCTGTGGACGTTGTGTGGCGCCTGCTCTAAGTGCCAATTCCGATCCGCTCGAAGCAGCTGAGTGGGCGCATCTAGGGTAAGGCGATATCGTCGCTACGCTGGTCCCAAGTTGTTATGGGCTTTGTATGCTAATAGCAACCCCTTGGACCTGGCCCAGTAGCAAACCGGCAACCAGTGCAGGTCTCTGAGCACAGGTGACAAGGCCTCACTTCCGCCAGCAATTGTGCCACTGAATTCTGCACTAATTGCAGCTTCCAGATCATGCACAAGGGAAGCTCCACACAGAGTGCATTGCAGTAATCCACTTTTGAAGCAGCCAGCGCATTAACTACTGTGGCTAGGCTTTAGTCCTAAGACTTGTTGCTGTTTAATCAGCTTAATGCCATAATAGGTGGTTTACAAGTGTGAATTAAATCCATAATTAAAACACACAATAAAAATAAAATAGGTGTGTGCTGTGTTTATCATTCTGGTTAGTAGTCTCAGACACTCCTATCCCACCAGGGTGGCTAACAGTGCAGTCCTGCATGTGTTTACTCAGAAATAATCTCCCACTGTCTTCAGTTGGGCTTGCTATTGGCTAAGTCACTATAGGTTGGCAGCCTAACTTGTTTTTTCATTCTACTGGTCCTTGCCATGTTATGTGGCTGTTCACAACATAAAACATTGTGCGGTAACTGCTGAAGCCAATCAAGCCTGGGTATGGTCAGCACTTGCGAAAGGTGACCATCTGAGAACTCCATGTCTTGGGTTTTGTGCTGGAAGAAAAAGGAAGATATAAATGTGCTAAATACACTAACTAGAATAACAACAACAACAGCAATAATAATAGTAATACAGTAATAATAATTTTATTATTTATACCTCGCCCATCTGGCTGGGTTTTCCCAGCCACTCTAGATGGCTTACAGCATATATGAAAATATAGTAAAACATCAAACAATCTGGTGAAGCAATCTGGTGCTCTTGCTAGTGTACTTGCACTGTGGTAAACTGTCTTCTGCCTACAAGCAACAACAGTGCACATACCAGGAAGCTGGTGCATTGTGTCGGTTCACACTGTAGTCCATTGCACCCTCCAAGTATCACTGTCATGCCAATCTGTTCAAGTGCTTGTTTTGCCCTTGCTTCAAAAGTGTCTGTAAGTGCAGATCTTTTACACATGCCCACGGGACTGAGTGATAGTTATTTTCTTATATCAGAGAAGGTAAATGAATACAGTTAAACTGTACTACTGAATTGTAAAATTGGAAGGGACCACAGGGATCATTTAGTCCAACCACCTGCCATGCAGGAATCTCAAGGAAAGCAGTTATGACAGATGGCCAACCAACTTCATCTTAAAAACCTCCAAGGAAAGAGAGGGATTAACCTGCTTCCTATCACTGGTGAGCCTGCCAACTGAATCAAGCCTACCCCTTCATCTGAATTGTTGGATTCTGGGTTCTGATTCTTAATTGTGCTTAAGTGTGACAGAATGTTGGAGACTTGATTTTATATTGTAAAAGTTAAAATAACCATACAGTTGTGCTATCACTTAACAAAGCTTGACTGCATTCGCTCCATATTCTCAACATGCCAGTTTGATTCTGCAAATGTGCAAGTGGGATGTGCAAGGATAAGTGTTTGGATGAATGAGGTACCTTTATTATCTACAAAGAATAGCAGGACTGATCTGGGGGAGTTCTGCAATAACAAAAGTGTTTGTGAGAATGCTCTTGTGAGGGCAGCAATTCATCAGAGTTAAGTGTACTTGATTTTCCAGCCCTTTCACAACCACTGCAACTCAGAAGTGGAAGCAGCTGTGCATAATTGGTCTTTTCAAGAAGGAATTTGTGTTCAGTTTTGATACATTGGCACTTCTTGTTTTCTCAATGTTTGCTCTTTAGTATGTCTTGATCTCGGCAGCACTGTTTTTCTCCCTTGATAGGCAAATATGCAACAAATACCCATCAGAGCTTGGTTGGAAAGCCAATGGAGAGTGACACATTCACTCATACAGAGTTACCTACTTCAGAAGAGCTGGCACAGGAATCTTAGCACAACCTGCACAAGGTGTTCCAAGTCTCGGCGACTGGGACATAAAAGAGACCTTTCAGAAAAGAAGCTGGTAAAGTCTTGAAAAATATTCAGTTTAGCTGCAAATTAAATTTAGTGGTACTGCAGTATATTTCTTGTCTTCTCTTACTTGCTTTTGGAGTTCCCTGACTTCCACTTTCCTATAACACATTGATTTAAAAGCCTTTGTAAATTTAAGACATAATACAAAAACAGAAAACATTAAGCTAAACATTTATTAGTAAGCATTTGGTAAGAACTCTGGCATTTTTATTTCTTGCATCCTTTTCATGTGAAGATTACAGGATGATAAGGCTGAAATACTGTTTGAAAACCCTTTAGCAATGTCTACTTTGTTTCTTTAAATTGTGTTACAATTTATAGGAATGTTGCATGCAAGTGTTTTTAGGATGCAGACATCCTGACTTACATGATCATAGAAGTAACCCTATATACAGGTTGAAAAAGGCTGCAATCTTTACTTTCCTAAGTAAAGATATAGAGGAAGGAACTGTGTGTTATCTTTGTTTATTTACTAAATTTCCATTTCCCCACTCCCTTTCTCCCAGGAGTACCAGGCACCATACGTAGTTTCTCCCTGCCACCACTTCCTTCTTATCCTGACAGCCATCTTATGAGAGAGTTTAGGATGGGAAGTGGTAGACAGTCAGCTGGTTGCAAGGCTGAGCAGGATTTGATGAACCAATGTCTCTCCATTCCAAGTTCAGTGCTTTGTTTACTGTATCATACTTGCTCTTGTGCATACATGTAAAAATAAGGGGTCTCAATGTCACTTCGTTATTTGGCTTTTAGCGGGGCTGCAAAATGGCTTTGAAGCCTCTTGTTAGTTAGAATTCAGCTGCAAGAATTCTGACAATTGTAGGTAGTTGGGGCCATAGTTCACTGACCTTAACAAAAATTCTTCTTTTATCAAATGACTAATAATAAGCTAAGTTGTGTATTCATATCTTACTAATTCTGTTTGTTTCTGTACTGCGAGGTTGTGCATTAAGTATTTGTGTAGGTTTAGATTGTATTTGGCCTTAATTTAATATACAAATTTAATAATAATAATAGGAACTTCATATTTACATGGCAAGTTTGTGTTAAAAATGCAGATGTGCCAGTCATTTTTCCTCTTCAAGTAGATTTTTCAGTTATATAATGGTGGATAGCCCTGCGCATCCTGCTTTTTGTGCATGAACCCCTGGCCAAATCATGAGATAGTCTGTGCTCAGAACTGCCTCTGTCAAGTACTGATCAGCTCACAAGCTGAAGATACGTTTGATAACTAAGGTTACTAGAGTACATAATGTGGCTATTTATCGTGAGATCACAAACTCATCTTGTGAAAAATATGGCTGCATAATCCTCTCTGTTGATGAAAGGGCTCTTTTGTTCAACTTAATTTGCAATGTGTTTGAGATTGCAAGCTATAAATCCTGTTAGCAACAAACCACAGGGAAAGGGCAACTATTGTGCTGCTTTTGAGTAATTTAAGGCAGCAGTTTGCTGTTTTAACCACTTGGCGATGCTATGTCAATTCAGAAAATGTTCTTTTCCTCAAATATTGTCACAACTTAAGCACACAGCTGGCCACCCGCATTTTGCCCAGGCACTCACCCTGCGTTATTTTCAATATCCTGAACCTTTCTCTGCAGTATTTGCCTAACTGACCATGTTTGTGGCAATCAATTCCCTTCCAGCTGCTTGTGCTTTAAAAAACGAGCTATAGTTTTTGGTGTTATCACAAGACTTAAGATATTACCAGTAATTCTGTACTGATTCATAGATTATATTTTTTAAAAAACTCCCAGGAAACATAGCAATTACTTGGCTATATTACAGCAAGAAGAAGAGTTGAAAAGTGAAATAAAAAATGAATTGTAACTGCTGGGCCAGTGAGATTGCTGTTGGGATAGCTACAGCTTTTCTCCTCCAAGAAGGGGAAAATACTAGATAAATATGTCCTTTAAATGCTGGATGCTGTTTTTACAGCATACCTGGGTTGTGTTAGAGAGCACTAGAATAAACTAGGGTAACTGTTTCCTCCCTGTGCCCCTTTCATGGTTCAGATAAGGTAAAGGTAAAGGTACCCCTGCCCATACGGGCCAGTCTTGACAGACTCTAGGGTTGTGCGCTCATCTCACTCTAGAGGCCGGGAGCCAGCGCTGTCCGCAGACACTTCCGGGTCAAGTGGCCAGCGTGACAAGCTGCATCTGGCGAGCCAGCGCAGCACACGGAACGCCGTTTACCTTCCCGCTAGTAAGCGGTCCCTATTTATCTACTTGCACCCGGGGGTGCTTTCGAACTGCTAGGTTGGCAGGCGCTGGGACCGAGCGACGGAAGCGCACCCCGCCGCAGGGATTCGAACCGCCAACCTTTCGATTGGCAAGTCCTAGGTGCTGAGGCTTTTACCCACAGCGCCACCCGGGTCCATGGTTCAGATACATTACAGTATTTTGAGCTCTGTAACCTCAGGGAGCACTTTCCACATCACTTGTTGGGTCTTGTTGGCAGCACAAGAGTGCCCTTTTGAACATGCCCACCTCTTCCTTGCAGCACTGCATTGCAAGGCAAGGTCCACTAACAGTGAGCAAGTTCTCTTTAAGGCAAACTTACCTGTCACTGTCAGTCCTTTCACAGAGGAGCCCCTGATAAGTCTCCAAGGGTCCCTGAACAAACTGAATGCCGCTGCCTTGGAATAAACTAGATAACAGTGAAGCACTTTGTATCCTGACAAGAGGCACTGTGTGAGAAGGAGGACTGCCTGCTGTATTTGTTCCCCGCTTCTGATCATAAGCTGAAAAAGAATACCCTTGAGAAATGGGGATTGAGTGCAACTAGGACTATAGGAAGCTGCCTTCTATCAAGTCAGAGCGTTTGTTCATCTCTTTCGGTATTCTTTCTTCAATGACTGGCCCAACTTAGAGATGCCAGGAACTGGACCGGGGTTTTTTTGCATGCAAAGCCCTGAGCGTATAGACCTTCCCACTTTACTTGGAATGAAAATGAAGAAGGGGCCAGGTGTATTTCCCTCTAAAGTGTCTTGCATAATAAAATACCCAATCCTTCATATGGCTTCTCATTCAGCAGGAGAAACCAGGGCAGTACCATCAGGGTTTGTTAGAGTGCATAAGGAGAGCTGCAGGAGGGAAAGTCCTAGCTATTTAGGACTTTAAAGGTGAAAATGAGCAATTTGAATGAAAACAAATAAATGACCAGCTAAGACCACTATGGAACCTGCTGTGGCTGGACAGTGCCAAACATTCTGGCAATGGCATTTTGAACCAATTGAATCAGTGCTTTTCAGGAGCTACTTCATGGAAAACATAATATACTAGTACGGAAAATCTGCCCCCTTTTCCTTCATTTGTCACTATATGAAATAGATGTATAATTGCTTGTTGGCCATACTAGTGCCTTTGCAATAATTGCCCAGAACACTGGAATTTGGAATCAAGTTTCCTTTTTACTGAAGAACTGGTAGAATTCTGAGAAATGTCGAAAACATCCAAGGGATGGATCAGTCCTCCAGAATATACTTATCCCAGTCTGTGGCCTTGAGTATAAGAATTTTTGCTAGGTAATAAATGCCAGATACATTTATCTGGCCAGTACCTTAAATGCAATATCCATGTCTCTCTCTCTTATCAAATGGAACTTTAATTCCTAGTAGACTTTAAATGCCTCTCGCTTATCAAATGGAAATTTAATTCCTAGTAGGCTTAGAATTTTGACTTAGAATTAGAATTTTGACCAAACTGCAGGAGGCAGTGGAAGACAGAAGTGCCTGGCGTGCTCTGGTCGATGGGGTCATGAAGAGTCGGACACGACTAAACAACAACAACAACAAGGCTTAGAATTGAAAATTTCTTAAATGTCCTGATTTGCTTTTCAGAATAGTGTTTCTCCCTATTTCAGACCCGATACTTTGTAGATCATCGAAGGGTATATGTGGTAGGAGGCAAAGGAGGTGATGGTATCAGCTGTTTCCACAGTGAGCCTAGAAAAATATATGGAGGTCCTGATGGTGGAGATGGAGGAGATGGGGGAGACATTATACTGAAAGGTAAGAGATAATATCTCTTGCACAAATCTTGATACGTTTGTTTATTTTGTTTCTAGACTGCCCATCAATCAAAGTTCTTTGGGCAGTTTACAAAAATCAATAAAATAATTAAATGCAATACATAAAATAATTTCAATGCAAGTAATGTAAAACTCAAAATCCAACATAATGTTTTACATTTAACAAAAAGCAGTATATAACTGGACCAGCCTGAAATTAATCTAAAAATAGTTTTCCAAAAATGAGAAAGCATTTTATGTATAGCTCAGCTTATTTGGGATGAATCACTGTAAAGAAGAGAGGATCCAGCTAGTTGACAACTTGACATGAATTATGTGCATATGCTGTAGAGATACTAGAAGGTTCACTCTGTGCAAATAATAGAAAGCACATCTCTCTGACCTTGCTTTTATGCATGAAAGTCGATACCATTTTCCCTCTTGAAGCCAAAAGCTACCATAATAATACACTTATATAACACACTTATAATATACTTATGGATTGTGCTTCAGCATTGTGGTGATGAGAGTGGCATAATGACCTAAGTGGAATAGAAAAACCTTATTGAGAGTGCATACTAAAGGTGCTTAGAAACAGCCTTGAAACTGCATATTAGCACCTGTGTTCCACAAGGCAGAAATTCTCTGAAAGAAGAGGCAGCTCCTATACTGGTGGATGCCCAGAATAAACATGGGCAGATTAATTGCTTGCACCCAGTGGTGTTCCATTAAATTGTAGACTTGGAAGGGTTCTCAAGGATCATCCAGTCCAACCCCCTGCAGTGCAGGCATCATAACTTAAGCATCCATGATAGATGGCTATCCAACCTCTGCTTAATAAACCTCCAGTGAAGGAGAGCTCACCACCTTCCAAGGGAGTCTGTTCCACTGTCAAACAGCTCTTGCTGTCAGAAAGTTCTTCCTAATGTTTAGCTGGAATCTCCTTTCTTGTAACTCGAATTGTCTAACAGGGGCCCATCTATGCTGTATATAAGTTGCATAGAACTTGCATAGAAATTTACAGACACACAGACTTGCTACGTAAAAGTATCTTCCATCTGTGGGATTCATAATGTATAAATCAGTCCAGCCTCCACTAGAATCTAAGTTTGTGTTCTTATGCTCCATTGATCGGAATGGTGCTTAAACAGATCAAACTTTGATTGGATTGCTCAAGTATTGCACACCGAAGTCATCCTGGGAATTCTGCCCTAATGCAGCTCAGTTCTATGCATTCCTACACTTAAGTAGGCTTCACTGTGTTCACTGGGGCTTGCACCCATCTAAGTGTGCATATGATTGCATTCTTTTCCAAGCTTGCTGCTGAATTTTCAAATTCCAATACCCACAGCATGCCTAGACTAAGCTGTCAGTGGCTGCATGGGCACAGTGCTGGTTGTGTAATGCTTTTGCTCATTTGACAAGCTCTACATTAGGTGATAGTGCAATTCCTGTATAGTTTCTTCTCAGTAATTGTGCTGAAATTGCAGCTTTGAAAAGGCAATTCCAATACAATGAAAAGTAAACTATTTTAGATTGAACATGCTCTCTTCCACGTGAAGAGCCATTATTCAAAACCACATAGCTTGAACCTCTTTACTGAATGCATCAGTAACTGTAAAATGTTTGGTGGTTATTTTGTGGCACTGGGTTTTTTTCTATCTTAACTTGCATTAGAGAAACTTTCTTAAGCTCCTTGTATACAAAGTGCATGGTAATCACAGTTCCATCTTTTGCAAAGTACTGTCTTAAGCAGCTTAGCTGCAGTAATAATAATAATTATTATTTGAGCACCTAAAAAACTAGGTGTAGTATTGAGTACAAACAGAAACAGGTCTGTGCCTAAATAGCTTGTTTTCTCATACAGTAAAGACAAAAAAGACACATAATTGAAACTAGAGGAAGAGAAGGAGAATGTAAAAATGTAAACCATAATAACTCTGTTATAGCTTTAATCTGTGAGCCATATTTAAATAAGGAAATAAGAACGAATTAACCAGCTATAGGCTGGCAATGAATTCCATTAAAAGAAGTAAAAAGAGGAAAGAGCAGAAAGGTGCAAAGCAGAAGGAAATGTATGAGACTTATCAAAGAAGAGAACACAAATGATCAAGAGGACACAAATAATCAAGAAAATGTATTGGAGAAAAAGGTGGGAGGGCGGAACAAAGAACACAAATTTTGATCCAAAGATCCTATAAGTCAAGCAGAATTTGCTTGTGCTCATGAGGGTTTGTTCATTTCACTCATTCTGCTGACCCTCAAGAGCGGGGATGGGAAATTTACTGTCTTCCAAGTATTTCTGTACTACAACTACAACTTCCATCATCCCTAACCACTGGCCGTGCTGGCTGGGATTGATGGGAACTGGACTCCAGCAACATTTTGGAGAACCAGAGGTTCTTTATCCCTCCTCTAGAGCCAGGATCAAGGCAGCTCACAGAGATTTACTGCACTTAGAAGTGCCTTCTACTTGAATGGTGGGATCATTTGATCCAAGATGCTACCTGAAATTTAGCATAATATGGTAACATTACCACCATAAAGTAATCCAAAGAAAAGGAACGCAGTGCTTGTGTTTTTATACTGTAAACCACTCTGTGAGCTTTGGATAAAGGGTGGTATATAAGTATAATAATAATAAATAATAGTAATAATAATAATAATAATAATAATATAATAAAATTGTATGTGGTGGGGGGGATACAAGAAAAAAAGCCCAAGTTGGGTGGCAGAATTCAAGACAGAATAGGATGCTTAAAATGGGAATAGAGAATTACAATAATCTAAGCTAGCCAAAATAAGATAATGAACCAAAGTGTGTTTATCGTCGACAGAACGGATTAATGAATTTTGGCAGTTTTTAACTACTGAAAACAAAGTGTGATGAACAAGGTGTGGTGTGAAACAATTTTTATTTTTTGGCATTTTTCAAGTTGTCTTCCTAAGATCATTGAAATATTTTGGTTTGGTGATCACAAGCGAAGTTACCTTCTGAAAGACATTGCTTTCAAAAATATTTTAATGTACATTAATACACTGTTAGCATTCTAATATGGTTAAGGCAGGCGAGCAGTAAGAACACCTGATCACTCCTAGTATTGCTTTGTCCCAGTGTCCTCTGCTGGGTAGTGCAGACACAACATTCTCTGACATTAATGATATGTCCTCATCTTGGAATCAGTTGATTTGCATATGCAGACAAGAAAATTTATCTAGTAAGAGTACTGTATACTTCAAACATTTTTAATCTTGCTTTACAGTGGATAAGCAAGTCAGATCCTTGGCTTCTCTTCTCTCACTCTATCGAGGTTTCAATGGAGTAAATGGAGGGAGCAAAAACTGTTATGGAGCTGCTGGTAAAACTACCTATGTTAAGGTAAGCAGCTAACGTTTTAATTTTAAGTTTTATACATTTCATTATTATTTTTAAAGTAATTGTCTTTGTTTGCTGCCCCATAACACAACTTACTTCTCTAATTTTCAGCCTTTTAAACGCTTACAGGCATACTTCATCCATGTGAGAGAGTTCGGAGAGCTTCCTGGGACTATTTGGATCTCTGCTTGCACTCAGGCATAAGCAAATTGCAACGCATTGCAAATGGTCGTCTTTGCTTTGCTTAACTTTCTTCTTACTTTCAAGGTTCCCATTGGTACGGTGGTTAAAGAGGACTGTACAATTGTGGCTGATCTCAACCATCATGGTGAGGAGTATGTTGCAGCCTATGGTGGAGCTGGAGGGAAAGGCAACCGTTTCTTTCTGGCCAATGACAATCGAGCGCCAACAACTGCTACTAAGGGTGAACCAGGTCAAGAAAAAATTCTCCATTTGGAGCTTAAAACCATGGCTCATGCAGGGATGGTGAGTCTGCCTTTTTTCATTAGAACATTTGACTCTGGAGGAACAAACCTTCATTGTTTAATTAGGAACAGCTCCATAATGTGGAGGGATGCGGGTGGTGCTGTGGTCTAAACCACTGAGCCTCTTGGGCTTGCCAATCTGAAGGCTGGCGGCTCAAATCCCCACGACGGGGTGAGCTCCCATTGCTCTGTTCCAGTTCCTAGCAGTTCGAAAGCACGCCAGTGCAAGTAGATAAATAGGTACCGCTGTGGCGTGAAGGTAAACGGTGTTTCCATGTGCTCTGATTTCCGTCATGGTGTTCTGTTGCACCAGAAGCGGTTTAGTCATGCTGGCCACATGACCCGGAAAGCTGTCTATGGACAAACGCCTGCTCCCTCAGCCTCAAAGCGAGATGAGTGCCACAACCCCATAGTCACCTTTGACTGGACTTAACTGTCCAGGGGTCCTTTACCTTTTTTTAAAATACCTTTACCCATAATGTGGAGTGAGGGAGATATTACTTAAAAAATGTAGTTCTTTGATTTGTACTGGTGTGTGTGTATGTGCTTTCCTGATTGGATCTCTTGACTTGGAGGCTGATGATGTTCACGGTAGCAACAACTGGAAAACTTGGGCTCTAGCCGTTATGAACAACAACATGTGGGTGCAGCATTTTCACAAACCCTGTCTATGCGCACCTATGTATTAAAATGCAATGTTCTAGCTTCAGCCAAACAGTGACGTGTCTGAACAGTGTGGCTAGAGACCTGCCTTCTAAATAATCCATATTGGGCTCTTTATTCCAGGTAGGATTCCCTAACGCTGGGAAGTCTTCGCTGTTGCGAGCCATCTCCAATGCAAAACCAGCAGTGGCTTCTTACCCATTCACAACCTTAAATCCACATGTAGGCATTGTTCACTATGAAAACTATGAGCAAGTTGCAGGTATGTTTTTATAAGACTTCATTTCAAGTGCTTAATATTTTTATTGAGCTTCGATCGCATTTCCTCTTGAAAGAGCAAAAAGAAAATTGTGTATCATAGTCACATGTTGTATATTATATTGTCAACTGGTTTGTGATCTTCGGATGTCGGGCGGTAGAACAAATGCCCCATACTTCTTTTGCCAGTCCTGTGCTTACTGTGATAGCTCGCCTTAATACAAAATCACAGCCTCACTTAAAACAATTATTAAAAGAAAACAAGGTAAGAACAGAGCTAATCATAGCACAGCTAAGAGACTTGACAACATTAAGATACTTGTCTCCTGTTTGGTAATAAATACATTAGTCCCGCAATATTTGTGGGGTGACTCTACAGGCTAAACAACAGGGGTTCAAATTACTATTATTATTTATTTGGCTTATGAGGCTGTTTTGCCCAAATCATTCCATTGGGATCAGGAACCTTGAAGTACTTTCCTGATTGGGCATTGGCAAGGGAAAGCAGGCTTAGGCTTTACAGCCCGATGAATTGGGTGTGCATGAATTGGGAATTACCCATGGAAAATGGACCCTGGACCCTCCTTGTCAGTCCTTCCCCAGCTGGATCTAACAAGCCAAAATAAGCAAAGGTCGAGTAGTCACATTGCTGCACTACCTCTTCCCCTCTGCATATGCCTGAAGATTTGAAAAAGAGTGGGGAAGGGGGAGTTGGTAGCAAGGATAAATAGATGCTGTCTACCAAGCTAACCCCAGTATCTGTGGACTCCTATGGGATGGTACTAAAGCTAACCATTTTGGAAGAGGCAGTGCCTTGTGTCATCTCTAATTGGTCTGCTTTATTCACATAGAAACTACTGAATGGTGTTGCCAAGAATATTTTCTTTCAAATCCCCAAGCACAGAATGAGTATCTGCTTTGAGCAAGCATCCACTAATCCATTCTCCAGGGACGTGCTTTGGGCAGTTAGGGGCAATGGCTTGTCAGCCGCCTCCAACAAGCTCTCACAAGTGCTGCAGTTTCTCCGCAGTCTCTGATCTTATCCAAACCCCAGCATGAATAAAGCAAAGCGATGCTTCCCTGGCAAGCCCTGTAGGCTTGCAAAGCAGTTTGGAAAAGTAAGAAACAGCAGGGGAGACTCTTGGGGCTGTATCCAACAAAGGTGTCTTGTTAGTTCAAGGACGTCCTCCTGCTCAATGGAACTACCTCTCCCATTCCTCTCTAAGCACACAGTCACCCAACCTGCTGGGGAGGGTTGAGGTACCCCCAGAACATTTGGGGGGCGCGCATGGGGAGAGGAGAGGACGTCCTGCTGCACAGGCAGATGTCCTTGCACTAATGGCATGGCTTGGTTATATATTGCTGTTTCTTACCTCCTTCATACTGTAGCACAAACTAATTAAATCCCCACGTCTCTCCAAAGCCCACTGCAAATGCTAGAGGATCTGAAAAGGGGTAAGAGTGAATAGGAAGCACACATAAATGCTGGCAGTGTTCTCGAAGCTACCAACATAAGTTTTACGAAACTGCGGGAGGTAGTGGAAGACAGGAGTGCCTGTTGTGCTCTGGTCCATGGAGTCACGAAGAGTTGGACATGACTAAATGACTAAACAGCAAAAAGCCACACTGATATTTGTGGACCCCTGTAGTATGATGCTCAGGAGGAAATGTATAACAACTCTTTCTACTCCTGCCTGCTGGCTGCTTGTTGCCATTCTGAATTTTCAGATGGAGTTCTTTGTGTGCTTGAATGATGCTGCTGCCTGGTTCTAGTCTTGCAGGCAAAAATCTGACGTTTGTGTGACCATGCTCAAATGACCAGAATACTAATGATTGCTTTTGCTGGGTTCTGCTTTGTTTCCGTAGTTGCCGATGTCCCTGGGATAATAAAAGGGGCCCATCGAAACAGGGGGCTAGGCTTAGCCTTCCTGAGGCACATAGAACGTTGCCGCTTTCTTCTGTTTGTGTTAGATCTCTCGGTATCTGAGCCCTGGACTCAGCTGCAAGACTTAAAATATGAGCTAGAGCAGTATGAAGAAGGCTTGTCAAAGAGACCTCATGCCATCATTGGAAATAAGTTTGATCTTCCACAATCAAAGAGCAATTTGTCTCTCCTCAAGGAACGAGTGGAACAGAAAGTCATCCCGTTGTCTGCTTTGACAGGTGAAAACCTGGAGGAGTTGTTTTTGCACCTGAAAGAACTGTACGATGAGTATGTCAAAACAGAAGAAGCACAGAACCATGCACCCGTCAAGTGGTAGCTGGCCACAGGGACACTCTGGCCATATTTAGGTGGAAAGTGGGTGGAGTGGGTGCAAAATACCATATTTTTCGCCCTATAGGGCGCACCTAGTTTTTTGGGGGGGAAATAAAGGGGAAAAAATTATTTCCCCCCCCCAGGCGCGGGGCTGGGGCAGGGGAAGCCCGAGCTTCCCCCGACCCCAGCCCCCAAACAGGCAGCTCTCTGCAAGCCGAGGGAGCCCAGCGCTGGCTCCCGCTGCTTGCGGAGAGGTGCGCGAAGCCTGCATTCGCCCCATAGGACGCACACACATTTCCCCTTCATTTTTGGAGGGGAAAAAGTGCGTCCTATAGGGCGAAAAATACGGTACTTTGCTTTCAGAATAAATCTCTGTCTCTCTGGAGCAGTTAACCATAGAGGTTTCTCCCCACCTTCTCTAGAAGAATGATCCAAGATTGCAGAATCAGTGGAAAACTCTGCTTCTAAAAAGATAAATATTGCCAAGCAAGATGAGTATTTTTCTACGGCCTTCAATTAGAAATGTAAAGGGAAATAACCGTCTATCTTCTGGGAATTTCTAGATAAAAATGTAAAAATTAGTTCCATGAGCCTGTGTGAAATAAATTTACATAAATAAATGTCTCTTGTGTAAAAGTAATTTTAAAACATGTTTTGTTTACTTCATGTGTGTGCCTTCAACAGCTGCTAATGCCCCTGTTTTTAATAGCTTGACATTCCAATTTGTGTCCTGGACTTAATTAAAACTTATCATAGTGGTGTTCATTTTGGTATCGATGCCTGAACTGGAATCCTTTGCTTTGCTTTGCTTTTCTCTCTGTAAGAAAAAATAAATAAAAATCAATGTCTAATTTGCATTACAGGAGAGAGAAACTAGTGTGGTCTTTGTTGCATGGTTTGCGCTTGCATAGTTAACTTAAAAGCTGAAAATGGCAGAGGAATGAAGGTGCTTGAACCATATTGGGACAGTGTTGTTCAGGGAGAAGCACCCTATAACCTGATGGCAGCAGAGTTTGCTACCCATTGCAAAAAGTCTTGGGAAGAATTAGATTCCAGTCAGGACTCCAGCAGGGCAAAAATTTAAAGATCTCTTCCCCTGATGCCATAATCTGCATCCACCTTGGGCGTTTTCAACTACAGTGGTGCCTCGCAAGACGAAATTAATCCGTTCCGCGAGTATCTTCGTCTAGCGTTTTTTTCGTCTTGCGAAGCAACCCTATTAGCGGCTTAGCGGATTAGCGCTATTAGCGGTTTAGCGGCTATTAAAGGCTTAGCGGCTTAGCTGCTAAAAGGCTATTAAAGGCTTAGCGGCTTAGAAAAAGGGGGGGGGAGCGAAAAAAAATCTCAAGACTCACAAGACATTTTCGTCTTGCGAAGCAAGCCCATAGGGAAATTTGTCCTGCGAAGGCATTGAAAAACGGAAAACCCTTTCGTCTAGCGGGTTTTCCGTCTTGCAAGGCATTCGTCTTGCGGGGCACCACTGTATGCAAGAGTGAATTATGTGACAAATGCCATATCTAATTTAGCCCCCATGTTCTAATGAACAAAAGACATCTTTAGTGATGTGACTGCTTTTGTGATTCCATCATCCATATTCCATGAACAGAGGCATCCCTTCCCAACCAACCACTTAAAATGTTACCTCAAACAAAACAGAATGTGCACATATCATATGCAAGCCAGAAATTTCTCCATCTTTTTCAGAGGGATTACTTGCTTCCAGTGTACATTAAGTATAGTACACTAGGAAGCTGCAATCTTGATTTACTCATATTTGTTTCTAGAGTGCATTAATGCTTGGCTCTTTCTTGAGCTAGGGATGTTGCCTCTGTATTTTGATTATGTCCTTAAATGCACACCAACAGCTCTTCCATGTCACAGCAATTAATGCTAACCATTTTGTGTTTATAAAACTGGTTTATTGACAGTGATGATGGTGAACCTTTTCAGCAAGCCACATGGACTGTTAATCTTCATGCTACTTTTGATGAATGTTTGGTATATACTAGCCCTGTCTACAACAGAAACAACACATTCACCGAAATACGTTTTATGGAAGCAGCAGAATCATGGTGCCAATCTAAAGTTTGTATCCAATGAAGTTGTCTCCTTAGTTCAATAGGACTTCCTCTCTCCCTGCCCAGCCACCACCCAAATCAGTTCTGGGGTTTCCCTCAAGCTCCAGAGCAGATTTGGAGAGGGAAAAGGTTAAGTCCTTGTGATTAGTTGGATACAACCCTCTATCCCCAATCTACAGTGGGGATCGTGAGCAAAGCCTATTCTTACAAAGTGGATTAAGAAACACTTCCAGTCCCATGGGAAGGATACTATATGTGCAGTTTTACCTATGTAAACACTATTCTTACTAAAGGCTTATTCACACTTAGCTTTTGCCCTGCTCTTCAATGCTGTGTCTGAGTGGGTGGGGTTTTTTTTTGGGGGGGGGAGTGGTTGCCCTGAGCTTTCCCCACAAAAACCAGTTCTTTAGTGCTCAGTCGGAGCAAATGTCAACAGCGAGTTTTCATGGGGAAAACTCAGGAGCAAAAAAATAAAGGATGCTCAGACACAGGTGGACCGAGCAGAGGAAAGGCAATTGTGGATAAGCCCAACAAGACACAAAATATAAGAGAGTGGGAACAGCCAGTGCAATGCCAGTGAATATATCCTTTGTGCTAGAACCTTGCTTATTATTTTTAATAACTTCAAGCTCAGATCAAGGGTAATTTTCAGTCCCAGGTGCACATTTTCTGCACTAAAGAGGAGGATAGTGTTTCTCTTTGTCCTATAAGGGCATTGTCACCTCAAAGAACAGTAAGTTCCCACAATTGTCGGATAAAAAATGGCCAAGGGTAACGTTTTAACCCAAGAGCAAATGGGTCTTTCTACATGGAATATTGGCTTGCCCCAAGCTGATGTTAATGATTGGTGTAAGTTGCCACTCCAGTACAATTTTTGCTTTCAAGACTTGCCTGGATGTGTTTGAACAGTTCATGTTGCTGCAACTTTTAGTTCAGGTTTCGTTCTAAATTTGTTTAGATCTGTTTAAGTTATCCACGCAAGTGTCTATCTGTGCATCCTGCTTTTGCAAGATACTTGCAAATTATTCTCTTGATCACATTTTTCCAAGATGCAAGGTCATGTTACACCTGCAGCCTCTGCCTTTTTCCAAATAAATAGAAATGTTTTTGCTGACTTGGGTAGAATAGCCGAATCCTGCTGAAGAACAGAGCAGAAGTCTATACTATGGAGTCTGCTTCAATGGAGTTCAACATCCCCCATCTGCCCATTACCTGTGTCAGTATTCTCCTGCGTGTAGCAAGGATTGGGCAGGATCAGGGAGGGGAGGCATTGGGACAGGAGGGATGCTGACCCCGCCTTCTCCATGTAGAGTGATTGAAATACTCTATACTAACAGGTATGTGGTTTCATGGCATGCATGACAGCCAGCCTAGACACTTAGGGAAATACCCAATGGACATTGCAAGCAGGGTCCCAGAACCTCCAGATGCTGTTAAACTACAACTCCCATCAGCCCTGACCGTTGACCACGTTGGCTGGGGATGATGGGAGTTGGAGTCCAGTGACAGCTGGGGGGGCACAGGTCCCCCTTCCTTGATATAACAACTGTAATTCATTAAGCAAACCACGAAACGGTACAGAATTAAGTGTGCTTAAGCCCCTTGTTTCAGTGCGCTTCAGCAACAAATAGCAAGAAGCAGCCGTTTTTTGTTGTTAGTTGAAAAAATCACGGACAGGCAATGTCTTGACTTTGTTTCTGCATATCTTTTTTTAATTATTTTTTTTAAAAAGCCTTAATCCTTTCGGCTGCAAGGCTTTGAATGCAGTCCTTAGATACCCATTATAAGAATACAAAATGCTGTGCAGCTAGGAAGGAACAAGAATGTGCACTTTGCTATTCACTGGATTGCCCTTTTAAGCAACTGCTCTTTTGCAAGAAAAGTCTGGTTTTGTTTACTCATTGCTTCCATTTCTTAAAGGGGGGAAACGACAGAGTGGGAGGACTGATTAATGTTTTTAATTAGTATTGGTCAGTGCAGCTGCAAAGGAGTCCGGCATTTTGCATAATGGGGGGGGGAGTAAAACTCCCTCCTGTGGCCCAGTGTCACATGTCTTTTGTCCCAGGGCCTGTTTACATGAGCCTTAGACTACTGCCAGGGGCTCATTGTCAGCCGATTTCTGATTTTAAGCTGTGCTGAAAGTAGAATCGCAGAATTGTAGACTCAGAAGGGACACAGAGAGTCACCCAGTCCAACCCCCTGCAATCCCAGAATCTCAACTAATGCATCCATAAGATGGCCAAAATCCACAGTTGCACACCCTCCATGTCCCTATTTTCCAGGGACACTCCTGGATTTACAGAAGCTGTCCCGGTTTCTGATTTGATTCCAGAATGTCCTGCTTTTCCTTAGGTAAAGGTAAAGGGACCCCTGACCATTAGGTCCAGTCGTGACCGACTCTGGGGTTGCGGTGCTCATCTCGCTTTATTGGCCGAGGGAGCCGGCGTACAGCTTCCGGGTCATGTGGCCAGCAGGACTAAGCTGCTTCTGGCGAACCAGAGCAGTGCACAGAAACACTGTTTACCTTCCCGCCGGAGCGGTACCTATTTATCTACTTGCACTTTGACGTGCTTTCGAACTGCTAGGTTGGCAGGAGCTGGGACTGAACAACGGGAGCTCACCCCGTCGCGGGGATTCGAATCTCCGACCTTCTGATCGGTTTAACCCACAGTGCCACCCGCGTCCCTTAGGATGCTCCTATTTTCATTGGAGAAATATTGGAGGGAATGGGGTTTTGTGACCCTGAGCCAAGGAGATAAGTAACTATACAGTAGACGATCGGGTTGCGAATGTGATCCTTGTGGGATGCACATTCGCAACCCGCAGTGTTCGCAACCCACGTCTGCACACATGCAGGTTACGATTCGGCGCTTCTGCGCATGCTCAAAGTGCGATTTAGTGCTTCTGCGCATGTGCGACTGCCGAA